ATCAGTCTCCAATTCAGTACCCCAAAAGAATTGATTTGTCATGTTAACATGGAGAACTTTATGATCCGACAGATTTAACGTGCACCAGTCACCATTTACTACACGGGGGTCTTCGATCGGCAAAGATCAAACCCATGACTTCTTGGACATGGGCCCAACTACCTACCAACTAGACCAGGGGTGGCGAACCTTTATACACCAACGTGCCAATTTTTCTAAAAAATTGTTTAATGAGGTCATAGACGTGCCAAATAATTTTGACTTCGTGATTATTTGGAAAATAATAGTACTAAATACTTATTAATTATAATTAAGGCCCGGATTTTGATGACATTTGCATTTTTTTGCATTTTTTGCATTTTTGGACATTTTTTGTCTTTTAGAGCATTTTTTTAGATTTATAGGGCATTTTTCTTTAAATTTTGGGGCGTATTTTGCATTTTAATGCATTTTTTAAAGTTTTTTGTTAATTTTTTCCAATTTTTATTATTTTTTATCAATTTTCATTATTACACTGGCTTCCAAACAATGAAGAAAATCTATAGGATATTAACAGGTGAAGCAAAATCTTTTCAAATTGAAGAAGAATTGTCAGTAAGTGAGACCGTCTTTTTCAAGTACGCACCTATAACATCAGTAGACGTTGAAAGAAGCTTCTGCAGGAATGAAAATTTACTTTCAGACAAGAGACGCTCGTTTACATTTCAAATTATCAAAAAACATTTAATAATCCAATGTAATTCTGATATTTAGTAATATTATGAGATGGAAGTTGTTATATCCATTAAAGTTTCTATACGAAATAAAAATATTTTGGTGTCAATATATTTTCCTTTTTTTGTTATTTTAGAATATAAAACGAATTTTTCAAACTTTAATGAACGTAGAACAAGTATTGCATTGCTTTATATTTTTTAAATGACTCATAATAATTTTAGAGAGCAAAAAAAATTTTTAATTCAATATTTTTACTTTATTTAAGGCATTTTTTGCACAATTTTTGGATTTTTAAGGGCATTTTTTGCACTTTTTAAGGGCATTAGTTGAGATTTTTTAGGTCATCAAAATCCGGGCTCTAATTATAATAATCAGCTCAAAACTCTTTATTTACATTGAAAGAGAAATACATTTTGCCATGTCTTAAAACAACTTAAAGTAACATCAATGTGAATTCTGTTGTTGCAGATTAGATGACAAATAACTTATATTAAGTTGTAGGATGTTAGTTTAAGCAGGACAGTTATTATTATTTTTTTTTGCTAGTTATTTATTTTTAGCTTGTTTTTTATGGTTATTAATTGTTTTTTTTAGCATTAATTGTTAATTCTTTTATCAATGATTGTTTATTATTTTGTTCGCTTTTGTGAATTTTATTTTAATTGTTACATATGCTTAATAGTGTAATAACATTTGTGTAATAACAATTCATAGTGTAATAACAATTGTGATCGATGGCGTGCCCAAAATATTGTGTCTCGTGCCATAAATGGCACGCGTGCCATTGGTTCGCCATCCCTGAACTAGACTAGCCCGGCCATGCGTTTGGTTTAGCTATTTCATTTTCAAGAAATTAAAAAAGAAAAGAAATAATAGACTTTAAAGCATAGCATAATAGACTTTAAAGCATTCACTATTATTCGTAGTCAAGTACTTTTAAAGACAAGTGAACATCCGGGAATCATTTTTACAAAATTATTTTTACGGGGGAACGAGGATCATTTTTGTAAAATAATGTACTTTATACAATACAGTATTTTACAAAAATAAGCCTCGTTTTGATGTTTTTATTTATTTATTTCTTTTTTTAATTTCAATTGAAAAAACCTCATTATCTTCAATAGTGTTTCACAGAACTCGGAAATATTAATTATCTTTCCTCAGAATAATTTTTTTTTCATCTGCTCTTTTTTCCATTTTCATTTTATCATACTTTGGTAATCTAATCTTCGTTATGTTTTTAATTTCAGAATGAATTAAAATATACATGGATTTTTTCTCTCGTATTATTTTTATTTTTTTTTTTTTTGTTTCATTAGGCATATTACATGTTCTCGTATATTTTTGTTTTTTATTTCACATTTTCAAGCATTATAAATTTTTAAATTTGCGTTATTAGTCTTCTTTAATTTATTTAACCTTTTCGGGTCTGGCGAGTCATAAATGTATTCGCACGAAATCGAAATCAGGATAGTAAAAAATAAAATGCGGTAGCTTAAGTTTGGGCATAGCTAATTTGACAGAGTTATTTTTGCTTTCACTTTAAATCTAACACATCCAATCCTAGAGTGTTAAAAGTGTAACTATACAATCTTTAATTCGAACTAAGTAATGGTGAATTAAATAAAGCAAACTATTATTACCCCGCCCACAAATAAACTGCTATAAAAAATAGTTAGGCTGCCAGTTTTTTTTTTTTTTTTTTTTTTTTTTACCATGATTATCGCCCGTCTCGAAGAGGTTAAGGATAAAGATTTGTTAAGCCTAATAACGAAAAGTTCTTTTTTCTTCTAATGCCCGCCAGGGGAATGACCTATGTCTTACAGGCATCTGAAGGGCAAATTTGTTGACTACGTTTTCAAGGGCACCATATTAGGTGCCCCAACGTTGCTCCCACACATTCTGGACAGATAGTACAAACATCCATACCTTGCCCGGGATTCGAACCCACAACCTTTCTGATGCAAGGGCAGTTCCCTAACCTCTACACAGGCCGGTTGGCACCAAAAACTCTTATGAATGTTAAAATTACGGATAAATTTAAACACAAACCACAGTAATAAAAATCTCCAGAACATCATGTCTGTTGAAAAATCTCATCGAGGGTATAACATAAGCGGAGAGATCCACCGGAAATTTTAAAAAAAATTTCCCGTGTTTAGAATCGTGTTATTGTTTACATTCAGTTTCCTATTCATGGGGCATTATATGGTGTTGATGATGATAAATAATAATATTAAAATTGATAATAGGCATATGTTTCCTTATTATTCTATATGTAGCTTAATAAAATTATTTCACATAATTTAATTGAAGTAGCAACCCCTGTTTATTGTTTCTTTACATTCTAGAAGTTTGTATACATTTAGAAAAATACAAAAATCTAATAACAGCTTAAATCAGTATGATCACTGGCTGGGTCAAAAAGAAAAAAATGCGGTTTTTTGCCAACCCTGTTTAGTTATAATAGTGTTTTAAAATAGTTGTAAGCATTATTTTCACATAATACAAGAGCTTTGATTGGTATGAGTAAAACATTCAAACAAATCTGATTTAAATATTTAAAAAAATCGATTTAATAAAAATAAATTCCAATTAAATTTTTAAAAAATTGATTTTTCACAGTTTTTAATTATGGTTTAGTAAAATTTAAAAGAACAAATTAAATAAAATTGCAAGGATCTTTTTCTTAATTATAATATAATATTTAAACGAGGTATTGCGTATCAAAACCTGCCCATAATTCGTGAAAATTTAAATAAGAAATAAATATGAGAATGCATTCTATTGAAAATATCTTCATTATTTAATGTTGTTTTCATTCTTTCATTAACTTAATAGAGTTTATTGAAGTAATTTTCTGATGTGCTATCTTAAAACAGGATAGTCAGGAAACTAAAAAGATAAACAAAAAATATTTAGATAAGAAAATAAGAATAACTTAAATATACGTTAAAAAATTATATTAATACAATGTAAGCTTTAAAATTCTTTATTTTAAATAGTATCAAACAAGTTTCATATTATTTATTGTCTCATATATAATAAATGAACATTAAACTACTTTTGTCGTTAAAAAATAATAAATGTAAAAAAATTTCATTTTTCTTGTTCAATATTTAATTTTAGTTGTTGTCATTTAAATTATTCCTATTGATTTATCACTAAAAAATTGTGTTAGTCATTTTTAGTTTCTTCCAAATCCTCCAATTTTTTTTCCGGTTCTATTCATTACTTCCAGCTCAACCTGATGTATTCAGATAATTTTCTAATTAGAAGCTTTAAAATGAAGTTACAGAAGTTCGAACTTCAGTTGCATTTTTCAGGAAAACAGACTTACTTTTGTCTCCAACTATACTCACCTTATTTAAGATAGAAGATTTTGTGAGTTATTAACTCAACATTGGCAATCACTCAAGAATTGGTGATCGAAATGGGCGTTGAATAGCACTCTCTACTTATAGCAACAATTCGCATGCTTTCACCATTAGCGTGTGGATAGTCATAACAGGGGGTAGCTCTTAAAGAATAAGCGTCGGGGCTACTTTAGAAAATACTTTTGCGAACAACATTATAGAAACAACAATATTTAAATGCGAACAATATTATACAAAGAGAAAATTTAGTAGTACATTCCTACACTGAAAGAGAAGGAAGGAAGAGAGAAAGAGACGGAAGGGGACCCCGTGAAACACTAGCGAATCAAGTTCTTGTTAGAATGTAGCGTGAATGCTCCAAGGGCCATTCTCGTGAAATGCACAATTCATGCATATCAAAACGCAGCAGGGAAAAATAATAGTAGTGGTAGTTGCAGTAGTTCATTTACGTCTCACTAAAGCTGCACAATGGACTATTGGCGACGATCTGGGAAACATCCCTGAGAATGATCCGAAGACATGCCATCACAATTCTGCTTCGGTAGCCCGACTACCTGAACCCGAAGTCGAGCACTTTACGGTAGAACAGTTTAACGAGGACCAATACCGCGCACCCTCGGTCCCTACGCCGACTGATCCAAGTGGTCACCCACCCGCACACTGACCGCAGCCAGTGATGCTTGACTTCGGTGATCTGCAGGGAACTGTGTCTTAACGATCACTCCACTGCGGGACCAGAGAAAATAGAAGATAACTTTTGGCCAAAAAGTATTTTTCTCTAACCAGGTTTTTATTCTCCCATGAGTGGCCCTATATGTAGCATTCACACTGCATACCATTAACTATGACGCGCACCTCGAGAAAAATGTTCATTTATAATCGCTTGTAACCTTTGCTTTTTAAAGTGAACTGAATTGAGTAAATGTTTAGGGTATGGTTTCTGTATCCAAAAATGAGGAAACAAAACAAAATTCACATGAGTATTGTTTTTTCCTTTGTCGTTAACATTGAGCCGTCTTGAATGTATTCATGATTTTTTTCAATTAATGTCTTTATCTCACTTGATTTGTTTTCTTCTGAAATATGACTTGATCTTTTTATAATGTTTTGTATGATAATTTTAGAGATAGAGCAATGTAATGATTAATGAACTGATAATATGTGTATTATCATTTTCAATATTTCTACTAATTGATAAATTCAACACTTGCCTAGCATTCATACTATGTACAATCTTTATATATATATTCTTACGCCTAAAAATATTGCATCATAGATGTTTTCCATCATTTCCTTTGATCATCAATCAACAAAACATTTACTTCGTGAGTCTGTCACATGGGCTCTCTTATTTTTTTCAATCAAGCGAATCAGTTTCTTGTTTTAGTCAGCGATTTAAAAAATCGTGCAATGGGATGATTATTGAAGTGATATTATGGTTTTCATCATTTTTACTGTTTCTACTGATTGAAAAATACTTTTCATTATTGGTAGCTTTTATAATATGTCTCCTCCTAGTCCATTTCTATGTACGTTTACGTGCAACTTTTCATAATTTTGTATCCTCTACATTCCATGACTTATATAATAAAATAGCATCATATCGATTGTTTAGAATATCTTTTAGACTTGCCTATACATCTGAGATTTATAAAAGAACTTACTACTTCTTAGGACAACTGTTTTGTTTTCAGAAGACATCTATACCTATCCCTGCTGAAAACCAAAATTTTCAAAGTTGTGGAGATGTGTTAATCATTGACAGTGAAATAAATGTTTTAGTTCAAAATATATCTAAACATTATATTTGTTCGTGGTATTATAGACTCGGTGATAATGATGAGTTTATTCATCTGTTAAACAAATCCATCAAAGAAACCCTTCATCGATTGTGTTCTCGGATTTTACAAATTGAGAGAAAAAAAATTTCTTACACTATATTACAAATATATCTACATTTTTTTTCTCATTTTGTAGAAGCGAAGAAGTCTTCAGAAAGTTTTTCTTGGGATAATGTTCAGGTAAGATTGTCAAATGTAACAGGTTTAAACTGTCTAAAATTATGTGATGGGGTTAAAAAATTCCAAGTTAAGGTGGATGCTAAGTGTAAATTTATTTTATTGTTTATTTTAGTTAGATTCATTTCATATAACTAAGTGTTGCAAAATAACATGGCTTAAATAAGAATGAAAGGCAGTCATTAAAGAAGAATTAAAAATCATGGGGATATTTTTATATCTTTTTAATTGTTGCATCTACTACAATCACCCAGCTATCAAATGAATTGTAAACTTGCTACTTTTAAAAAAAANAAAAAAAAAAAAAAAAAAAAAACAAATATATGCTTGGGGGTCATAACTAGTTGGACTTTTTGGGTTGATCTTCTTCTGCAATATTTTACATGGGCCTTTTTCCTTTTTTAAAAATTTCTTTGGGTGTAGATAATGATACAAAACTATATATCGAAAATCACAAGGAGCATGTGAGGTCAAACACTACCTGGGAAGATTTCTGTCAAGATTTAGCAACTTCGAGGCGGGGACTCACAAGAAACTAAAAAAGCATCACAGATGAGGACCAACAATCCAAAACTTTTGAAATTTGCAAGTTTAAAATCAATTTGGTAATTATAGTTGGCATAAGAAATCAAAGTATTAAATTATCTTCCACTATCTAGTGCTCCTAGAAAGGGTAGCAAATTATGTATATTGTATTTAGGAAGAATAAACAAGATTCATCTTATTTTTATTAGGTAGTAAATCTAGTTATTTTACTAGATAGTAAATCTAGTAATTTTACTAGATAGTAAACATTTAAAACCAATACTACCAGTGTTGTTGTAACAAATTTTTCAGTGGGGGGAACATTAAAAAATTCAAACATTTATCTGAACTTTAATTTAAGAATAAGTGTTTTTTAAAGCTTTTGTTAATTACTATGTACATTCTTAATCACTTTATATTACTCTATGTATTGATATATTCATTAAAATTTTCTTTATTGGTATTTTAAAATTAAGTTTTTCTCATTTAAATTTTTATTCATATTACATTAAAAGAAAACAGTTATAATAGGCTCTTAACTGGCTTTAATATTTCGAGTAAATTGTTTTTGCAGTGCATAAAATAAACAAATTGTCTTATGAAAACTGGGAATTTTTTTAAAAAAAATTTGATTTCATCTAAAAACCAATTGAGATATGCTGTTTCCCTATACATCTCATCTACTACACCCTTGAATACTAGTACTTCCGAAGATGATTAAAAATTTTAACTGGTGACATGCTTAATATTGAGGCTTTAAAAAATTACACATCTTCTTAAACCTGCAACTAACAACCCTCTTTAACAGATCTAGATAGCATATGTAACCCTATATTCAATTATAATTTTTATTTTGCATGCCTTTTGTACCATTATTTAAATCATTCTGTAATGTATATGTATATTGACTTCATTTATAATATCCAATAGTTTGTTTCAGGATGTACTTCGTAGAAGCTGAAAATTTTTTCAAAATCTTTATGCCAAAGGGTGATTTAAAATTTCTGAATTGTTTGTGTTAAACATATACCATATATTTCTGAATATAAGCCCATCCTTGTGTAAGCCTAAGAGTACTGTTTTAAACTGGAAATTTGCTTAAATTCAAAACTCATATGTAAACCGATATGTACTCATATGTAAACTTATATCAAAAAGAAATGTTGACACTAGTTGTTTTAATGGAATTAAAATTCAACCATGTACTCGCGAATAAATATGTAATTTAACAGTATAATTGTGTAATATTAAAATTACATTTTTCCTTAGTTTGTCTACCATATTAAATTTTAGGACTACCAAATGAATACCTGGGTGATTTTGTAGCTTTTTTTTATAGATATTTGATATTATGTAGAAAAAATTATAATTTTTATTTCAATTTTGTTTTAGATGAGGCACTGGGCTATGAGAGACACAGCTACTGAACGATGCTATCTTCAGAGTTTAATCAGTGCATTGTTGGATAAATTTGGTCCTTTTGAAAGTGAAAATTCCCTTCATAGTAAATCCTGTTCTTTGTTACATGCTATAGTAGTAGAAATTTTAACTGAAACCTTAATTCAACCGTTAGTTAGAGTTTTTAGTGATCCGTCACGTATAAACCTTTTAATTTTATGGATATTAGCTAATAAAGAAGACTCAACTGAAACATTAACTGTTGCCAAACTTCCATCAAACTCTTATAATAAATCTCAACCAACAATTATATTGCCTTCTGATGATGTATCTGTTGTGTCAAAGCCAATAATTGCCAAAAAAGTTACTTCACAATCCAGATTAACTGTACCTACATCGAGCAATTGTAATAAAAAAGCTCCAAATATCAGCGAAAATCCCGGTCATGAACTCAGTGTTGAAAGCTCAAGTTTTGCTTCACTTGCTGTTAGCTTAAAATCTTCAAGCAATAGTTATCTTTCTAATTATGATATATGTAATATAACTGATTTAGATTGTGATGATAGCGCATCAGATATCTGTGATAATGCTTTGATAAAACGGTCTAAAAGTGCTGATTACATACGACAGATGCCACAACTTAAAGCTCTAAATGAAAAAGATTATGACATAAAGTTGCAAAAGGGAAATAATAAAATGCTTGTTGTTGTCAAATCTGATTCAAATTCCAACTGTAGTATAGAACAAGCAGAAGAAGCTGTGGAATTAGAAGTTCCTACTCTATTTACTGATATAAAAATTACTGATACCATTCAACAAAATGAAGATGGCATTGTTCCTTATACACTTTACTGTATAGAGGTTAGATGTATTTTTTTTTTAATTTTATCTCTGCGTGTGTATATATTTATTTATTCAGTTTTGTCTTCTTTTTTTTTTTTGCAGTATACAGGAATTTTCCATGACACTCGCAGTGTATTGGGCAGTCCTCAATTTGTTACACAGAATGTCAGTATCAAAAGACGTTTTAGTGAGTTTGTTGCCCTTCAATCTAGACTAGAAGAAAATCCAGTTTTGAAAATTTTTTTAAAAGGTAATTTTTTTTCTTATTACTAATTGTTCAATATAGTATACTATACCAGAGATGCCAACTGCACTGTATTCTACAAAATATTTTAAAAACAATACATAACTATAAACTAAAATTTTCAGAATTTCAGTTAATTTTGCCAACATTTTGAAAGGCTCATCACAAAATAACTGTAACAAAGTAGCATTTCATAAAAGCTTTTGAATTATTTATAAGTTGTAGTGAGTAAAACTCTATAACTCGAATTTACTAAGCAAAAATCATACATTAATATATAAATTTTACTACCACTAGAAAATATTTATCATTTTAAAAAGTTAGCATCTTTGCTATACAATGCACACGGACTAACTACTGTAGGTTCTCCATAGTTCCAGAAAAAAGTTTTCCTAGTGGTAACAAGGGTAATGTATTTATATTTTAAAAAATTAAAATTTAATTAATTCTATCGACTACAAAACTCAAGTAATTTAAACATTTAAAAATCATATAGGTGATTACTTAAGTTTTAATATTTTTTAATCAAATATCTGTTTCATAAAATTAAGCTTTAGTTAACTACCACTGTAAAAAAAATTTGTTTGAAACTAACGAGAATCTAGTAGTTTTATCTCAATCTTAAGTTGGAGTCTCTGCAATACATTTAGAATAATGACGAAGAAATTGATGAAAATCAAAAAGATGGGTAATCCAAGACAACACGTATTTTGAAAAATTGACCCTGTATAAAATACTAGTTAAAGGAATTTTAATTAATCTGTGTCATTTCACTTTTTTTTCTATACTTAATCGTCATGTTAAATAAAAAATCTCATTGGAAATAAGCAGTGTATTCATTTCAAACGTTGCTACCTTGATGATAAATGAGACAGCGGTCCGCAAGACTAAATATTTTCTGCTTAAAAATCTGCCATGAAGATCTAAAGATTGGCAACCTATCTCCTATTGGCTTCTTTCTTCTCATCGGTGGTATCTTTCTGATCAACTCTCTTATCTGTAAAAGACTTGAGTCAAAGTTTGTGATGTGAAAATTAAATCCTCACAATATTTAATTTTTTTTAGGTATTAAAGGACCCAGTAAATGGACGACTTTACCATTTTCTAATTTAGATAAAAGGTATATTGCTGAACGTAAAGTATTCCTAGAAAATTATCTGAAAGCTCTATGTGATATAGCTCCAATTGCTCAAAGTTCTGAACTTCAAGAATTTTTAGCTTATGGTGGGGATGCAAGAATATCATTTGTTAGAAGAACTGGAGATATTAGTGTGCCAAGAATTGATAAGGTCAGATATTCTTTGGGGTATTTCAATATTTTTAAATCAGACATCTTTTTTTTAAAAAAAATATTCTTAAATCAATAATCAAATTTTTTTTTTTTTTTTAATCTATATAGCAAACTAGCCAACTCTTCCACTTTTTGCAAAAGATTGTATAGTTCTATTTAATGTGGTAGCAAAATTTTAACATTCATGCTTTATTCTTGCTTTAATAAATTTAGTTTAAATTGCTTTTGACTATCATAAAATATAAATAGTTTAAACATATTTAACACAGACATGTAGTTATCTTATTGTGTTGTAATTGTCAGTTAAATGTTACTATGATATCTGCTTATTATGTTTCTTAAATTGTCATTTTACTATCACCAAGAAAACACATTTTTGAAGAGCATAAAAATTTGCAGGTATGATATAGTTTCAATTTAGCAACATTGTATTTTTAAGTTGTCAATGTTCAAAATTTGTTTTTAAATTGAAATGGTTGATACACTTCAATAAGCTTATTGCACTTATTTCTCTTTTAATTTGGATATCTTTTAGCAAATTTATTATTTCTTCAATAAAAGATGGTTTTTCCAACATGAATTTGCTTTGTTTAACAAACAACTGGTACAACTACACATAGAATAACATGTTTTATTTTAGCACTGACTTTTGATGATTTTATTTTCTACTAAAACAATACATTTAACATTTTTTAAAAAGAAAAATTTAACTTAAACAGGTGTCTGAAGAGTTAAAAGATTTTGAAAATATAGATTTAAAACTATGCTATGCATTGTTGAATGCATAAAAAAATGTAGGGAAATGTTTATTTAAAATTCAGGGATGAGAGTTTTCCACTTTTTAGCGGATTTCCGCTTAGTTTGCTTTAGTCTCTCGAATTTTTGCTTTTTGTGAAAATTCAGTCATTGAAATAAAATAATTATATTTATTTTCGATTTTCAAAGATAAGCAGAGAATGCAAACTACGTAGCTTCCAACCCTTCCCATTTTCACTTATTTTAGCTATTTTCTACACTTTTGCACTCTGAAAAGAAGAATTTTCTGGCAGATAGCTCGTATTTTCGTAATTCAGGCGTTGTTGCTTCCTGTTTTCTGTCTCGAAATCAAGCAAAATAATAAAAAAAATAGTGGTGGATTTGCATTGAAAATATTAATTTGCTCAATCAAATCTTGTAAGTTTTTATTTATTATGACTAAGCAACAATACAAACAAGCCTTTTAGAAATTCTAAGTCCAGAATCTGCTAATATCTTGATACTTATTCACACCATTTTAATATCAAACATAGATTTTTGTATTTACCTGATTTCAAAGTTTCTATTCTTATTCACGCAATTTAAATATTGTTCATTGCGATTCTTATTTACAAGATTTCAAAATCGAATATCGCGATTTGTATGAACACAATTTTAAAACTATGTAGCTATTCTTATTTACGCGATTTAAATATGGAACATCGATTTTCGTATTTACCTGATTTAAAAGTTGCACATTGCGATTCCTATTCACGTGATTTAAATATCGTACATTGCGATTCTTATTTGCAAGATTTTGAAATTCAATATTGCGATTTGTATTGACAGGTTTTTAAAATCGCAATTTTAATACGAAACACTGATTTTCGTATTTACCTGATTTAAAAGTTGCTCATTGCAATTCTTATTAACGTGATTTAAATGTGGCACATTGCAATTCTTATTTACGAGATTTGAAAATCCAGTATCGCGATTTGTATTCACTCGTTTTTAAGAACATATGTAGCTATTCTTATTCAAGCGAATTTAACATCAAGCATCGATTTTCGTATTTACCAAATTTAAAAGTTGCGCATTACGATTCTTATTTACAAGATATATATATAATATTCATTCTTGGATTTCCTCATTTTTGCTTTCTGACTACTCTCATCCCTGAAAATTTTCATATGAAAAGTATTTCATTATAAAATAGCATTATCCCTAAATTATTATAATTACTATTCAAATGTTCTATAATTTACCTATTCCTCTTTACATTCAGTAACTTAGCATACATTGGTTTGCTGAAAAAAGATTTGTTTTGCAGTCAATCACCAAAGATCCAAATTACGAAATTTTTATCATTTGCATATTGCCGTAAATAACAGATTAACAAAAAATACTGACATTCAGTCAATGACTGCGCAAATTATGCCAGATGAATTTGTGCTAATATTGGTTTATTTCTAAATGTAATTTTTTGTTGATAAAAACTTTTGTATGCATATTAAAAGCTATTATTTTCTTTACTAGTTTTTTGTTCGAGGGGTCAGAGGTGCAATTGACATGTTTAAAACTGCATTACCAAGCTCACCTTTAGAAGTTGAAGGCATACTTCCAGTTAAGACTTCTTTAGAAGAACCTAGTTCTGACCAAAGATTTCATGAATATCTACTAGACTTTTCCTATCGCGTGAGTAATTCTCTCTTTCTTTCATTAAAAAATTCACTTAAAAAAGTTTTTTTTTATTTCAAAAATATTTTTAAATTCTTTTATTACAAGGAGAATTTTAAATTCTTTTATTGACTTATTTCCCCTCGTAATTTGAATCATTCTGATTATTTCTTCATTTTTCCACTGTAACTGATTTTTGTGAAATTTGTAATTATCCTTAATGAAATTTGCAGTTATATAGAATATCGTGATTTATTTAGGAACCTGAAATCAAGGAACATGTCAATAACTTTTTTCAAAATTCAGTTGGGAATCAATCTTATGAAAATTCATCCCATAAAGGAAAGGATATTGACGCAAAAGGAAAAAAGTCTTCACTGTTAAGAAACCTTTCAAATTTTAAAATTGAAGAATGCTGTTCTTGTACGGGATTGCATGGTATGTAAACTACTTATCACAAAGTCTAGTATCAAACTACTTATCATCATTTCAAATTTTTAATTCTTATTTATATTTAGATAACTATCTAGAGGATGAATACCCATTCGGTAATACAATGATTGAATTACTTGATGCAGCTGTAGATTTCAATGCCATGAAATTAGGAGATCTACGAACAAAATTAGTGCTTTTATTGTCACCATTGATTAATAGGTTAGTATGATATAAATAATATTCTGGTCGGTGCTCAAGAAAATTTAAATATATTTTTACTTATGGTATTAGCAAATTTTTTATAAACTTAAAACAAAGCTTAAAACAAATTTTTTGTAAGCTTAAAGTTAAAACAAATGGTATTCACATTTTTCTTTATCTTGGCTACTTTTAAACAGATTAACACTATATAATTAGAACAGAAATTAAAAGTTCTGAAAGATGTAGATAAAAAAATTACATCTAAACCAGAAATTGTTAAAATATTCTTAATCCTAAAAAGCACTTTGTTTATATTAAAATTGAAATCAAGGCGTAATTCTGAAGGCTTAGAACAAGGTGTTCCAATTTTGCACCATCATTATTGTGAAAGAAAATTTCAAAATCTAGAAAGAGCACTGAATGACTTCTAAAAAATTATGCCTGATATTAAATTATGTTATTTGAAATAAAAATTACATATATTTTAACGTTTAAAGTATTATATTGCTGCTTGCACTTGATTTACATAAAAAAATCTGCATTAATGTCAGTTATTCTTTCAGTTTCATGATTCTTTTTAATGTATAGCATGTTTTTCTCAAAATAAGCTCAGTATTTATGAATTATAAGTAAATATTTGCTTTAGTTTTGTGTCATTATGATATAGTGACCTCATTTTGTAATGTCTAATTTTGTTTGGACCACTGGAGTAGTTATATTTAGCGTCGACTGTATATACACGGTGTGATCCGTAAACGTTGAGACAAACTTCTTAGGAAGGTAGGGCACATTATAAGGATTAAGAATTGTATAGGAACCCATGACCAGAAATGTTATCATATGCCGCTGGGGGCAGTTTCCTATAATTCTAAACTGTAATGAACTCTTTCTAAGTATGCCTTTGAACAAGCACTCTCAAAGTTAGTTTTCATATTAGTGTTCAAATTACTAAATTATAGTTAAAAATCTATTACTGAATCAATTAAAATATAACTTTCCAGAATAATTGTTGAAAGACACAAAATTTCGGTAATTTAAATAAATATAAGTGCCTGTTAGAAAGCATATGCTGAAACAATTCATAATAGGGAAGTATCCCTAGCTGTGTAGAATGGCATTTCCTGTCATGGATTACTGTGCCATTCTTAATCCTTATGATGTGCTCAACCTCCCTTACAAGTTTATTACAGTTGTATATGTTGTGAGTAAGTGATACACACAAACTTTCCTTATCATCACTGAGGCTATTGTTGTTTGTATGCTCAAATTTTCATGTGCTTCTAATAACTACTCAATGTTCTTTCAAATTTTATTTGTAGTCAACTTGCACAGATACATCTTAAATAGTTCAGATGATTAATAAATTAGAACAATTTGATTGTTGAAATACTTTTAAACCATAATATGTTAAAGTAGTTAGTCATAATAAAAATTTTATGTGGCTTCATGGTTGTCTAAAGGCATACATGTTCTATGAACAGTTTGTGTTAGAAACTTTAGTCTAAGTAGTCTAAGTTAGAAACTTTAGCCAAATTTAAGAATTTTCTACTAATAAAAGCTAAACAAATCAAATTATCATTTTAATTGCATTTTAAGTCTAGACTATATTTTAAAGAAATTCTATTGTAAATAAAGTAGCATTTTCACCTCTTTAATAAACCTGTTCTGATTTTCACTTAGAACTATGTTATAGTTTTAATTTAATTAGAAGTATTTCTGCTATACTTGATTAAATTAAATATGTATTTTATGAGAACTTTATATATTCTTGATATGATTTCAGGTACATGGTAAACAAGATCGATTGTATATCTGATGAACACCTTGCATATGCTCTGCATTCTTTACATATGTACTTATGGCCTGATGAAGTTATAGTAAATGCTGCAAACACAGGGCAAGATAATTCTGCTAATATAGAAAAAATTGTTGAATGTTTAGAAGGTAAAATATTTGTACTTAATTAAATTACTTCTTTATTTTTCTTAATTTCTTTCTCTAATCTTATAATTTAAACAATATTTTGTAAATATTTTTGCAAAAACTGCTTAACCTTTGAGTGCCCAAAACTACCATGATTGTTCAAAAATGTTCCTTTCTATGCTAATTTGTTGATTGTATAACAAATAAAAATTTCAATGTTTATTTTTACTATATTCTGCATGTTTGAAGTAATATTTAAAATAGTTAATAGATGGAATTTTTTAAAACTAAATCTATGTCTAATTGGTGTATTCAGTTTAATGGCTCCATGGTAAATTTGCATTGTAATTACATTAAATTGTCATGTGATTTAAAAGAAAATTAGCTGTTTGTGGGTTATTTTTATAGTATAAATCTCTCATAATATTTTTTTAATTAGTGAATTTACAAAAAAGTAACTTAAAAATCAAGTTTTGTCATTTATTAATTAATAACTGTTAGATACAATTTAAACATTTTATCTAATAATAAATTAACTTTAGTAATAAATATCTTGTTAAAAGTTTAAATGAAATGCTGAAAACTTATATGAGCTACAAGTGCTGTGGTTAAAAAAATATTTTGAGAAAATTTTTTCTTAAAATATGTCAGTGTAGAAGTATTAATATATAAGTTTAAAAATAGATTTCACTTTATTTATTTTAAATAGAAGTTAAAGTAACAGATCAAATTTTAATGAATTAGTTAAGCGCATAGGCAATGCTTTTTAGTATTGCTTATTTTGTTTTTTTGTTTTTATGAAACTATACCAATGTTAAAGGGAAAAAATGCAGCTTTCATTTTTATTTTAGAATGTTTTTAATGTGGTTTGCACCACTCTTGTGTCTTTTTAGCCTTGTGAGCGCCTCTGCATTGCTTCAAAAAGCAGCCACTTTGAAACCATTTAAATATATTTATTAGTAAAGTATTCATATTTGTTATATTGTGTTAATTTATTATTTTTAATAACGTATCAGTCTTTTACAAATAAAATCTGTGAAAATACAATAACTTTTGATCACAAGTTGTGTTGAATTATATTCAATTCAATTTTCCAGGGAAAGAATATTATGATAAATTAAAAATATCCTCATGAAAAGAATAAGTAAAAAAGAAATTATACATTCGACTATTGAAAAGAAAGGTTTTGGAAGTGCTTTTGAAGAAAAGTTCATTATTTTAAATCAGGGAAATATTTTTTGAGAAATTATTTAAAAATTGTGAAAACAATTTGAAATATATTAATTTTATGCAAAGTCAAAAAATTTCTGATGAGAAAAGTTCTGGAAATATTGTTAAAATCGCTACATTGTTACAGGGATCAATAAATCTGTATACTTGTAAATGAATGGCTTTCATTCCAAACTGAAAAACTAGATTTTAATCATATTAGAAATAGTCATTTCTCGCATATAGTATTTAAAATTAAAAATGCTGTTTCCAAAAAAAAATATTCAATTGCACAAAAGGTCAAACTGTTTCTAGTGGTAGTGCAGACAAGAGACTTTTTTTCGTTTCATGCAAAATTATAATAAAAGATAAACAAAGATATCAGTGAGAACTTTAAATGCATAATTGCATGTTTTGTATGCATTAAAGTATTATGATTATCTTGCAAACTTAGTAACAAAAAGCTTTAAACTATTAATAATGGAATGCAAATAAAAAATAAGAACTACGTAAAAGAAGAAGAAAAAAAAAGAATAGCAGCAAAAAGATAAGAAAATATTTTTGAAAAACAAAAACCAAAAAAGAAATCAAAAAGATTGAACAGAACATAAAGAATTTTAAAGATCTTTAAAGCATTTATTAAACTTCAAGACATAGAAAATACTAAGATAAAGTTATCCACAACAATGCTTGCAGAAGCAATTGAAAGATTTAAAAAAAAGGGTTTTAAAAGCAAGATTTTTATTGAAATTCGACTGGCTCAGGTGCAAAAAAATAGTTTAAGTTGTAGAAATTGTTTAAGTTCAAAAGGTGCTAGAGGTTGAAGGTGCAAAAATTGTTTAAGATGTAGAAGATAAGTACAGGATAAAGGCGCTTGTCTTAAAAAAAAAAGGAATACAAAAAAGAAAGTCTTCAATGATAAACTTTTTTAAAAAACTCCAAAAACTTATCTGAATTAATTGTTACAAAAATGTGACAGATTTTATTAGAGGTAATTGTAGTCTATATATTGTAATTATTTTTTGAGTTCAAATTTATTGAAAATAGTAAATTAGTTTGCAATAAAAGTTTCTTGAAGAAAATATTTTTCTTTTCAGTTCAGTAAGTTTGGCATGTGATGTATTTTTTGTGCAAATGGTTGTATTGGTCTTTTTTTTTAACTAATTATTATTTTGGTCACTATTTTTTTGAAAAGTCTCTACTTCCCTCATTTTTATGTCAGTTTTTTGGTGAGAACTCAGCGTGTAGAATGTGTGTTAATCACTTTTTTTTGTTGTTGCTTACATCCGATTTAAGAATAAATTAAATAAGTGAATTGCATAATTAAAATATCTACTAAGTGTATTTCATAATTAGAATATCTACTACGTAAAATTTTAATATTTTATTGTATCAAGTTTCTGATTGGCTTTATTTTATTCATAATCGTTGTTGCTTAAGCTTATTATTCATATGTTTCTTCTTTACTTGCCAAATTAACAAATTGAAAGAGCTATTCATCTATCATGATTTTTTGTTGCAGCCTTCAAATTTCTAAATGTATTTTATTTTTCAATACATAAAATTTATTTTAAGGAACTAACATAGCATGTCTGGATAACTACCTTCTTCAGAAACCATTTGTAAAAGAAAAAATATTTATAACTGAAGTTGTAACTATGCCCCTTAATATCTAGGTTTTAAAATAATTGTTACCGTTTTATCTTAAAATTATTTATTTTTTCCTAGATTTATTTTCATCAAATTATTTCCTGCATAATGGTGTCTATAGTGTCAAATCAACTGTTCTAGAAAAGATGAAATTATTTATTTTATCTCTTCAGGATGAGAAACTGAATAAGTGAGTAATTTTTATGATACTAATGTAAATTGCTTTTGTTTCAAATTATTAAAAAACTTTTATGTAAGAGTCCTAAATTGAAAACTATGTGGTAGAAAGACTAGAGTGGTTAAACTAAAACTGAAATATAATATAAATTATCGATTAGAAGAAACTGATTAGAATGAAATAAGTAATGAAACTGAAAATAAAGAATTATTTCCAATCCATTACTTTAAACATATCAACTAATAGTTGATTGTTTAGTAATTTTTGTTTAGGAAACATAAATTAAATCTCAAATTTTTATTGCTTTAGCTATAAAAAATTTTCAAGAAATGAATTAATAGCGTGTAATAAAATCTATCTTAGTAACTCAAACTTTTGAATTAAAAAAAATAGTCTTTTGTACTTCTTAAATGTTACATTTTTCACCTGAATCTCTAGATGTATTATGCATTGTATGTTCAAAAACTATTGAATTTGTTCAATTGGAAATCTTTAACCAAAAGCAGAAAAAAATAGCTACTTATTTTTAAAGTGGGTGAAATCAGTAAACTTGATTAAAGAAAACATAATCATGGCTAGAAAAGGTATGTTGTAAATGTTTGTAAGCTTAAGATAATAACACATTTGTTTCTTATTTTATTTTATCCTGCCATTATTAATTTTTAAATGTTTTATTATAAATTATATCCTTTAGGTTGGATAATATTTTAGTATTAAATACTTAGAGTAGATAATAATGTTTCCATTGTTACTTACTTATTAGTCAATACTATTTTTTTAATAGTTATAACTATACATCCAACCATGCAAAAAAGCATATTAATATTTTTCTCTGAACATTTAAATGCTTCATTATTTATGCTTTCAGCACAACCAGTTTCTTGCATATTCTAATAAAGTTAAGTAAGATGAATAATTAATAATATAAATTATGTGTTATGTGTAAACTAAATAATAATTTCAATCATATTTAAAAATATATAACTTAAAACTTCTCACCAATTTTTTTTTTCTGTACTTACAGTATAATACTACTAGCTGCACTCACAGTATAATACTGAATTTGCATTCTATAATTATCATTAGTTTATTTTGCTCTTGGGAATAAACAAAGTTGTTTAACATTTGCTTAAATTAAACTTTTTTTGGCAAATCAAGTCACAAAATCACAACAAAAAAAGCATGTAAAATTCTCAAATTCTAAGTTAAACTATTTTTCCATTATAATGTTTTTTTGTGGCTTATGATTAATGTTTTTTATTGGCAGAAATAGCTTTAGGTTTTGCAATACCAAGGTTTGGTTTTGCATAATTGAAGAGAAGTTTGTGTTTTCAAAAATTCGAGATATAAAAATTCAAATATTTTAATGTAGTTTTCTTTGTCTAGAACTTTCAAAAAATAAACTTTTTGAAAACTGGGCAATAAACCATTTTGCTGTACACTACTTGATATTGTTAAGAAACTCACTTATCTGACTTTAAATTCCACGTCATCAAAGTTCCACAGACTGGGATGGAGGCAATCAAGCCTATATTAAAAGATTGCTTTTTCCTAAAAATCACTTTTTTGGCATCACTGTGTTTTAATTGCGGAAAAATTACTTGATGAGTTTTTATGTAGTATTGGAAATTTATAGAGAATTGATGTGGTTGTTAACAACAAAAAATTGAACACTTTTTAAAATTGTAATTTTTTTATGTATGTTTAAATACCAAAAAAAAAAATTTTTTTTTGCTATTTGTTTATCAAATTTTTACCACTTTGTGAAAAAATGGCTTTTTTATTAAAGATTTCTTTGGTTTTAAACCACGGCTTCACTCGTGGTCGCAGAAACCCTCCAGCAACACAGTATTGCCGTATCTGCAGATCTTTTTTCATTAGGATTTTTTTTTTAAAAAAAAGGGGGGAACCAACAAGGTTTTTTTGGTATTTTTAAGACGCTCATATTTTTAAATTTTGCTACATTTCTGTCTATCTGTTAAGCTGGATTTTTGAAATAATAATCTCTGCTTGACTGTGTTGAGGTTGCAGACAAATGTGGATTGATGGAGATGGTGCATGAGTTTCACGCTGTTAATTCTGCTATCGGGGCTACACTGACACATACTCCTTATTTTTTGCTCTTCTCTGTTTCATATTAAACTGTATGATCATGTGAAGCCCATCCATCAGTGTGTGGCGGGCATTGCCATCTTCGCCATTATTTTTATAAGTTAATTTACAATTATTTTGTATTTGTGAGTTGCCTTACCTTTATCTTACTCACCCCTCAAAGTCTCTGATCCCTGTGATGACTAGAGTGACTAAAATTTTAAATATGCCAATTATCTGATGTGAACAATATTTTTAATTATGAAGCCAGACACAAAAATATATTTCTTTAAGTAAACATGTCTATTTTTTGACAAATTTAAATTTTGGCAATCAGAAAACGCACAGTATGTTCCAAATAGTTTACTGGAGAGCTTTTGAAAATTTGGACCTCTTATTGTAAATTTCTATCTGTCAACTGTTAAACAGAATTAAAGTTGTAAAAATTTAAGTTTTAAGCTGGTAAAACTTCTGCACTTGTAAAGTAGATAAATTTTTATCTTATTTTGAAATATGTAATTTTAAATGCAGAAACATATAATTAGTGAAAAATTAAATAAAATTTTGAAAAGTTACGAAACAAAAAATATTATTTCTCAAGAGCTGTTAAATGGATTCTCTTAAGTTTTGTATTTTGTCATTTAAAATTGCATAGTTTAAATTGACATTGTGGACTTTGCAAACAAAAACGTTTTTGACCATTTTAAATGAAATAATAAAAATATTCCAATTTAAAGATTTTTTGGATATCTTTAGATAAGTGAATTTTGTAACTGTGTTTAAAAAAAATTGACTTTCTTAAATTGTTTGAGATACAGCAAAATACATCGAGAGTGAAAAGTAACCCCCTGTGCATTTGTCCAGTGTTAGGCTACATCAAAAAACCCTCCACTACATCAAATATCTCACTATGTCAAGAAACTGCTTTTCCCTCTAGTCTTCTATGGTAAAATGATGCATAATCTGGAAATTTCACTATACCTTGCCCACAGACTTAATATTTGAAGAGTAACATCAAAAGGCTATAACTTTTCAATTAGAACCAAATTTTTCAAAGTGTAGTAATCCTCTTTATTGTAAAGCTCAAGAAACCAAATCTGTTTTTTTTAAAGGCATCTTTATTTTAAAAGAAATTGCATTTCAAAGCAGATTTTAGCCTGAAATATAGTCTGCACGAACTTAATAGCGGCTCCTCAAATCATTGAGATTCTATCTTAATATGTGTCAATTCAGTCACTAATTCAAAAGTTATTAAGAGTACCTTTTTTATTTTGCACACTATAAAGTATTGATTCATTACATATTTATATGTCTCACTAATTTTACTACTTTTGCATAATTTTAATTACTAATTTTCCTTATGAAATGCTGATTCTAAAAAGCTTTTTCATTAACTTTCTTTTTCTAGGTGTTTACTGTTCCACATGTTTGATGTTATCGTTGAATATGTTTGTTCTGAAGCATAAATCTGTGCCTATCATTTCATATTGCTGTAATGAAACATTAATATTTTCTAATCTCAAAAAATTCTCAAAAATTGCATAAATCATATTTTTGGAAATTTAAATAATCAATATACATTCCATTAATATAAATCTTACCAAATTTAGTTAAAAGATCGAATTATATACATGTATCTATGCATTCCAGTTTTTATTTTATCACATTTAAGATTCAAGTAATCTAAAAAATTTTGTCTGTAACTTTTGATTGATGTTTATTTAATAAAATATATATTTGTGTATGTGATTAAGAAGATTTTTAATTAAACTTTGTTTATTTTTTTGTAATTTTTATATTTATTATTTGATAAAATTTGAAATAAATGAGTATGTTGATAATATTTCTTTTCCTTAGTTTTATTTTTAGCTTATAGTTTTCTTTTATTGCTTTTAATAAATTTTTAAAAACTTTTATTTTTTGTGTGATGAGACAAATCTGGACTACATAATAATTACTTTAAAAACGTAAGATCTGTTTTTATTTATTTATTATTCTAATTTTCTCTCTATCAACCAGTCAAACCTTATGCGTTTAATACTAAAATAAATTTAAAAAATTTCCTAGACATATTACTTATATTTTACTATACTACACTATTTTTATTACACGTATGAATTTTGTCGTACAGTTGTCACAGAACCCTGTTTGTAGATTTGCTGCTTAGTGTGATATCCTCTTGAAATCCTGCCCAGACCGTGAGGCTTCCAAGGTGGAATGTGTGATGTTCTGTGGCCTACTACATGTGCTTTGTTTCTTCCAGACTCTTATATGCTTGTCATTGGGAGTAGGTCTAATCTAGAATCATCTAAGAACATAATTTAGCCCTAATAATACACTGCCCAATTGACATTATAGATTAGACTTTTAATATTGCCCCACAGGAAAAAGTTAACACGACAGATCAAGAGATCTTGGTGGCCAAGGTATGGGATCACCTCAACTATTCTATCACCTAGGAAACGTTGAATTCAAAGTGTTGCGCTCAACGAAGGTGTAGTGTGCAGGCTTACCATCATGCTGAAACTTGACCTGATAGGGTTTGGAATTGGCCGCAACATCTGCGGTAGCAGCTCTCGTCTGAATGTTTAATATAATTCGCCATTTAGACAGTGTGGCAGGAACCATGGACCGATCAAATTGTCATGAAAGATAACTGCCCAAACATTTATGGAGAACTGCTGAGGATATGTGTGTCAGTTGTGGTTATTAAAAACATCCTCTCGTGTGAAAGCGCACTTTTACGGTATATAGAACACGGCTGTGTTATTTTGCTGGAGGAACCAACGTGTGAAATTGACACTTGGTTGATACTCTAATGGTGTCAACACATTGTGGGGTGTCATGTCTTATATACTAGTGTATTGGAATTGTATTTTTGTAGTGGTAGATACACTACAATATGTATCTTTTGCGTGTGATAGGAGTGCATTACTTTCTTTCCTGTAGCATGCATCAAACAGTCTTTCAGATGCATCAACAGTCAAACAGTCTGTCTATTTACAACATGTGCAACCACTCACATGCTTCATCTTGATTGATGATTCACCCTACATAGAAGATCCTTTACAAGTTGCAATGTCCTGACATTCCTAAGCAAAACACGTCCTGTGTTTTGCTTAGACTCAGCAAAGGAACCCCTTTCACACAGACGGCGATTTAAACTCGAATGTTTTCCTACCTGTAGTCTGTCTCATCCGAAACCACTCCTCTGAAAGCTTCCCTGCCTAGTGCACCATTTATAACACTAAATCATTGTCCATATTTTCTAGGATGTATATTGCTCGTGCAGATGCGTTCCATCATCCGGTAAAGCTTTGCAGTCTTGTTCGGACTCACCCTAGTGTATTGAGCCCTGTCCAATTTTTTGTCTCTGCAATACTTTGTAAAAATTATATTTTTTGCAAGTGATAGTTCAATCCCACTCTTTTTTTTTTCTCACAAAAATTTGAATCCATATAAATTTATTTATCAAGTAATAAGATTTAAGGAATGATTTACGCATACAAAATTTTAACATGAAAATTAAAACACTGAAAAAAATAATTTAGTAGAATGAAGTTGAAATTTACTAATACATATATATTAATACATTTTCTGTTGTAGGATAAAAATAATTAACTTCTCAAATGGCTGGTTTAAAAAAGCATTATGGGAAATTTTTAAACACTAATCTGTACCATATGATGCTTAGTATTAAAATAAGTATCAAAATTTAAAACACTATTTACAAAATGAATTGTTTTCATAGTTACAATAAAGGTGCATATAGTATAAGGTTAAAACGTAAGACTTTTAGGAATAGATTATTATTAATTTTCTAATACATTAAAACTGTTTTATTCATATTATCGTCGTAAATTATTCAAAATACAGATATAACAATAAGAATTGTGGAAAAAAATTTCATGACCTATACTATGAATGCATTTTGCATCGTGAGAAAACTCTGTCTAAGTCAGAACTTCAAGCAATATAATAAATGCATTCTTTGGAATAACAAGTTATATATGATACATATTTATTTTCCAAACTAATTTTTCTTCGGTCTTTGCCCAATGACGCCGTTGGCGTCACATCGTTCGATTAGGTGCCGGGATGCAGGCCTGATGCGAGATTGCTGGTACTCATCTGGACTGGCACAATGTCCAATAATATTGACACCAACTGAGAACGTGGCGTTCAACCACCTTATGTTGCAGTCACAGTGTATCAAGTTTCCTAATTGGATGAAAAATCAAATTAAAATTAATAAGTTAATATTTTATACTGAAAATCTGTTACTATAAGCCAACTGGAAACTTTGCAACGCATGCTAATGGGACTACACGCAGGACAGATCTAGTTGAAGTATCATGAAGTAATATGATATGTTATTGCTCATGTTAAGGAGGAGACAACAAATAAATACCAGTTCTATTTATAAGAATAATATAATGAAAAATTTAATCATTAGAAGGAAATCCTCGTCACACATTTATATTATGAAAAGAAAGATATCTTTGCACAGGTATTGGTATGCCTTCCTTTTGGAGATTGCTGTGATGATGCTTATTTATAAGCTCTCCTTTATTTTAGCCTAATTGAAATTTTTATCTTTTTCTTCAATAAAGATACAATGAGCCGTGGTGGCTCAGGGTTCGAATCTGAGCAATGACTGGTCGATACGAATTCCGCATGCGACTTGCATCAACCACAGTGCTGATGTTAAGTATCCTCAGTGGTAGATTGATCATGGATTAGACTTCCTTTGCTAACCATGGGAGGTTTTCGTTGTTTTCCTCTCCATGTAATGCTAGTGCGGGTTAGTTCCATTAAAAAGTCCTCCGCCAAAGCAAATTTTTCCCAATATGTGTTCCTGGAATTCCCTGGTCTTCTGGATTAAATTCAAACTTACAAGGCTACTGAGTTGAACATCAGTAGTCGTAAACCCCAAAAATTGGGTCGGCTGTTGCAGTTTGATACCTCCCTAATTCTTACGATGAATATTTTATAATTATTTTTACGAATTTAAATATTTTTTTTAAAAAAAAATTGTCTCGTAGCAGCATACTCTAAAAGAATGATTTCTTGTCCTCATTATATTCATCATATAGATTGGTGATAGAAATTAGGCTGCGGGTGGCTTGTTCACAGGGCCATGGTAGCTCAGTGGTTAGAGAATCAGACTCCAGTCCAATCTCCCGGGGTTTGATCTTCTACTTCATCAAGACACACTGAGTACTTGCAATATACATGCTTGTAAAGTCTGTGGAATCGAAAGTCTTCTAGTCGGTCGCTGAGCAGTGCCTGAGATCTGGAGAAAATTCTCTTCCTCTTCAGATCTATATCTAAGTTGAAGAAGTGGCCTCACGAATAAGATGCTTCTTGAGCTAAGACGTACTTTCACTCTTGCGGTGCTTCCTGACTTAATTCGCAAAATATCAATGATTGGCTTACTTAGCTTGTCCAAGTGTCATTAGAAGCAACAAAAGTTTTCACCTATTCCTTCCTCAATAGCATGTGAATATTTATAGGAGTAAGAAGTATATCATTCTCTTTCTTTATTTTCAAACCCATTAAAATTTGGAAACTATATGGAACTCAAAACTTCATTATCCACAGTACATAATGTAAGGATCATGGAAATTTTAAAATTTATTTCTGACAATTTAAATATGAGAAATATTACGAAAGAAGAAAACATTGTCATGCATCTGATGAGAAGGGGGGAGGCTCTGGACATGGAATCGATTTTCTCTCCAAATGACTTGTCCGAGTGCTGAGATCGCGAATATTATTTTAAAAAGTTTTTTTAAAATTTTGCCTCGATACTTTGTGCAGGTGGTATTTTCTCTGCTCGATTTTATCTTTCTTCAATTCCTACAAGATACATATTTTTAATAAGTGAACTTGGTTATGCAACGTGAACTTACCTGTAAGATCGATTTTATGAAGAGTATTTGGCTTTCTTCTCCATTCAGTGGCTTTTAGTTCTGTAATTGCATTGTATGCAAAATTAATAGATTTAATCTTTGGCATCATATTTATTAGATCTGCTCCGATTGTTTTAAGAGCATTGTAACTGTAAAAAAAAATATTGGTCAATAAAAGTGCGTCATATTAAACAAAGGCATCTTATAAAATGATAAATGTATTTTCAAAAGATCTTTTAATGATACCAAATTATTATTGTCTCCACAATCTCACTCTGTGGAGATCTGACTACTCTAGAGAATGAAGCTGAGTTTGGTATCCCTAGAGAGCTTTTTCAAAGTATCAAACAAGTCTGTTTTAATGTTTTTAGCCTGGCTTATATTATAGCGATATCTCTTTTAAAAAAATTTCACTCCATTTTCATTTTGTAATTATAACGTCGACTGTAAATCAAAATGTAACAACCTGCATTTCAAATTGGGTTACTCTTTTCTGGAAAATTTAAAGTTTGCAAAAAATGGAATTTTCTACTTAAGATTTTAAAGCTGCCCACGCTTAAAGGGGAGAGATTATGGGGGTCAAGTATGATATCACTGAATGCATCTTTTCAAAATATTTTTTATTTCACACCTGTATTTTTAGATTTTTGTTGTATATTTTTAGAGATATTTTACCATCTCCTTACATTTCTAGAGATGCCAACCTGATCCACTTGGAGGGAAATTTTCTTCTAGTGGTAACAAGTTCTGTACTTTAATCTATCATTGTTACTTTAGTAAATTCGTTTTGAAGTCCTTTTGTCCACCACTTTTGAAGTCCTATTGTATACCATGACATGAAAATTACCGCAACTGGAAAAGATTTGTTAGAATGAAACGAAATTTTTCGTAAGTAAGCGCAAAGTTGATATAACTGATTAAAAAATCCAAGAAAAATTATTAATCATTACAGGAAATTTTAGTACCCACTTTGACCATATCTATCTTGAATATAGAATGATGTACGGTTGGGCGTTTAGACATACAAGCCCCATATCATGTTCTACGGTATCTCATTCCGCAATAGCTGCAAAAACACAGCTAAATGAACCAAACTTGGAAGCTTTGAAACTTGCTGTCCCAGCCTTGATTGAGCAAATCTGGGAATTGGGCAGGCCAAGGAAGGCTAGTAATGTGTTATACACCCTTCCTGACTGGTGTCTTGCCTACTCTGTATAGCAGCACACTATTTCTACAGCTGGTGTGATGGTATGGCGTGCTATTTCATACAACACACGATCATCTCTTATATCGATCGACGGTGACATGACAGCTTTGATGTCGTCCTTCAACCACGCGTATTTTGTTCCAATGAGCAATTTTTCAACAAGGCGATGCTCGTCCACAAAGTCTGAAAAATATATCTGAGACCACTTGAGACAGCAAGTTGGACAACCACTGAGTTAAGTTTATAAGGCGGTATTTTTAGAGCAATTGTGGAATGAGATGCCGTAGAACATCATAAGAGTCTTGTAAGTCTCAATGCCCGACCTTATTACATCCTACATTCAGGCTTGAAATAACCCAAAAAATGTACTAGTCCCTCCATTTATTTGTATTTTTTCCTGTAATAATAAATAATCATTTCGTTTTGATTTTTTAATCACTTAAGTATATCAACTTTGTTCTTATGTTACGTATGAAAATTTCGTTTCATTCTAACAACTCTTTCTATGTGCGCTAATTTTTATTGCAATGAATATATGTAATTTATATAAGTTACCCCTTTGTTCCAGTTATCTGGAAATGAGCCCTTTGTTGGAAAATTTCGCATAAATTCTTTAAGTTTTAATGTTTTTTTTTTTAACTTTTTTTTCGATAACACTTTTTTGTCTAGTGTACAAGGGCGGCGCCAGTTGGGGGTCAGGGGATAATTGCCTTCTGTTGGGCATCATTTCCCCCCCCCCCGATCGGCACGAACATGAAAATCGTTGGGAAAATGCTACTGTCTTAAAAATAAATAGAATTACGTTCTTTAAAAAAAAAAATATTTCGAGAATATTTTCTTTTTACTTACACTTTACCACCAACTTCCTGTTCACTTTTCCTCAGAAAATTCTGATAGACAAGTCTTTTGTTTGTGTCCATGGAAAGTTATTCAGCAGCCCTGAGGGATAGAGGGAGACAAGAAGACTGTTCCAACTTCTACCCCATTGTCCTCACTTTATGAGACTGACTATAATCTATGCACACTTTCTCTGCATTCAATAACGAAAAATATTTTGTTAAACGTCACACCGTTTAACGTAAACAATTCTGTCTTTAAATTATTTGGAAGAAATAAAGAAGTAAAGTTTGTTCTGTCAATCTTTTTTTTTTTTAATTTGCCCTCAAATAGAATATATATTTCTGTATTCAATTATAATTGCTAATTTATGAGTAAAATAGTAAATGAATCTGCACATTATGGTATCAAAATTAGTGATTTTTGCTTCTTAGAAACATACTTGAAAAAAAATGTGAGAAAAAATGTAAAGTATAAAATTTGTTATAATTTAAATATTTTGAATTAATTTGTCTGAGCCCCCCTGTTGGGGCAGACTTGACCTCCTGTAGAGCAAAGTCTGACGCCATGCTTGCTGGTGTAAGTTTAATTTTATTTGGTTAAAATGTAGCGTGTTTAAAACTATTAACCATGTATTTTTTTTTTTACTTTCATATTCTTATTTTATTTAAGAAAGTACTGTGGAATACGCCATTCTCACTACAGGCAGAAAAAAATTGCGTTTGAGAATTCGGCGACACGAGCGAAAACAAGATTGGTGAGTTTTTGGCGGGTAAATATATTTCACTAATCAGGCTCTTATTCGCATCGCCGAATTCGCACGAGCGAATTTTTCGTATCCAGCCTGATTGGTCAATGTTAAAATATTTATTCAAACTCTTACTTTTAAATATTACCTGAGATCAAGATACTCCAACTTAGTTCTTTGTCCAAAAGAAAGACCGATATTCTCGATCGCGTTATGAGATAAATCAAGAGATTTTAGATTGGGAACATTGCGGAATACATTATCATCGATTTTAGAAATTCGATTGTAAGACAAATCCAAAGTCTTCAACTCTCTCAGCATTAATGGAAAAAAATCCACGGTCACTGATGTAAGTCCACCCTGACTTAGCTGAAAGTTTTCCAGTTTGGTTATGCATCCCATCCATGGTATTCTACTGCCTCTGCCGGTATCACAAATTGTGCAGATATTTTCTGAAGATGAACTGTTAACCACTTTGAAACTGCAAGAAAAAAGTGAAAATACCATTAAAACTGGGTAATCCAGAAAATATTTCAAATTTTATTAAAAGAATTTTTTCTATTTAGCTTATTTTACCATTTTATATTTTTGAATACCATTTTATTTTATAACAGATTTTTCAGTTAATCTTTCAGCTAAGAGTTATGGTGTGAATTATTGAAAATTTGAGTTCTAGAATTTGTTTCACGGGTACAAGATAGACGAAAGTGAACGCTGTCAAGTTATATGTACCTTTTCCCTGTATATATCTAATAACCTAAGTTGATCAAATGCCAAATTGCTAAAACAATTACAGTTAACAATCAATAAAGTGACCACTTACAAACTAAGGTAAACAACGTTTAAGAGCACAAAAAATATTTATAAATATTTTTTGTGCATTTATAAATATTTTTTGTGCTCTTAAACGTTGTTTACCTTAGTTTGCATTTTAGCACAAAGGTCGCCCACTTGTGTATTTATAAACAGAAGGAGATAGCAAGGATGTACTCAAGCAGAACTGTCTTGAAAATTTTCAGTGCCACTCAATATAATAAAAGGTTAAGACACAGATAAGAATAACAACAATAGACTAGCTGCTTAGAACGGAGCTTTTCTGTAATTAAAGTAAGGAACTGGGGAACTGCAAAAGAGTGGAATGGAAAAATACTCTAAAGAAGGCCACATAGGGCTGTTGTGCCATCAGTGATGGTGATCTTAGCTAAGTTAAATGTTTTTGTTTTATAAATTTGGTTTAAAGCTATTTTCCAAACCACTACATGTAAATGATTCAAAAGTTCATTTGGAAAGTCACTTTGTTCAGACTCTCTCGTGGGGAGGCTTTTAAAATGTCAGCAAAACAAGCTATAGTTTCTAATTGTCAACTGCATCTACTCTATAGCATAGTTTTGCAAAACATAGTAGTTTGAAGGCCTGTATAATATCTATCTATCTATATATATAGAAAACTTAAACTTAATAAGATAAACTTAACTAAACTTTAGATAAACTTAATAAAAATTATGCAGTTAAAAACTTGAAAAACAATAACTTATCAAAAAACTTAAAAAACAATAACTTGTCAAAAAACTTAATAAAAATAATTAAAAAAAGCAAGCTGTCGATAATCACAAATTCTTAACTCAGAAATGCTAGATCGGTAAAAATGAACAAATGTGACGCGTTGGATTGCTTTAAATACGAGATATTTGGCGAGAGAAATTAGTTTCGGAGTATTTTGCAAGACATTTCCCCAAGGTATTCGCCTGTTCCTATAANCGCACACCCTCGGTCCCTACGCAGACTGATCCAAGTGGTCACCCACCCGCACACTGATCGTAGCCAGTGATGCTTGACTTCGGTGATCTGCTGGGAACCGTGTCTTAACGATCAGTCCACTGCGGGACAGCATTAAACATAATTCTAAAGAAAAGTATCACGGAAATTTTAAAAAATATTTTTGTTAAATAAAAAGGAAACTTATTAAGAAAAGGGGAAATATCGTAGTACATTCCTATACAACTGAAAAGAGGAGGCGAGGGAAGGGAGAAGGGCTAAAGGCATGAAACCAGTCTCTCCCCAGATGGCGTATTCGAGTGTTGCGATCGCCAATTCATGTAAATACACTTATAGAGCATTCTCGCTGCATGCGATCGCACGTTATCCGATTCGCGCACACTCGAGCAATTCGTCTGATCCTGTAATTTCTAAACAGTCTCACGCACGTCCATGGCAAACGCATGCAGTGTCCCATGCGAATGTTTCTTTAATGACACTAGGATTTAAAAATAGAGTAGTATTTATTTTTACGCAACATTCATTCTACAGTGCTCAAAAAAGAAACTATGAAATATCATCCTAAATAACTTTTATTCTAATAATTAGACACCACGGACTAAGTGCCAATTTTAATGGTTCAAAGGGGTGATCTCAAATAAGCTAAATAATTAGTACAGATGATGTTTTAAGTTTCAGAAATAAGCATAAAAACATACTCTCACTGAAAAAGTACACCTTTTTCAATGAATTTGAATTTTTGACCATCAAAATAGGGAGGGGGGGATAACAACAATCTGCAAATTATGATTAATAGGCATAGCTGTTGATCTCCGATTTTGCATGGTTATTAAATTTGTTTATTCAAAGATGCGACCAATAGTTTTTAATAATAGTCGAAAACTTTTTTTAATTGTAAAGTGTACAAATGTTTACACAATTTTAAACTAATTTATTGAATACAAAATTTGAGCAAAAGAGGTTGAAAGTTTCTGAGTGATTAAAATTTCAAAAAAGCCGCAGTTTTAAACTTTTATTTCAATAAAAATACAATGATTTTCGTTTAAATTCGATAACTTTCATTTAAAATTACTCAGTTTGAAACATAAAAATAATTCTTTACCTTACAATTTAGAAAATGTCAGACGATAGTTAAACGTACTAAAAAGTTATTAAAGACTGTTTTTAATGGAATTATTTTCGCATAAACGGAAATAATATAGATGAGTGTAAATCGTTTTTTTGAGCGTCTTCCTAACTAAACGGTACGGAACAAACATTTGCATAATAGCTGCTACTCCCACCTTCATTTTATAACAAACGATCAAAACTAAAAAACGACAAAATAGATATGTTTATTCAGCGAAAGTACATTTTTGTGCATACTTAATTATCGTGAGTAACGTCATGCTTAATTATTTGAGGATTTAAGGTTTTTCTCTTTGAACTATCAAAATAAAATTAGCTGATCATTAGAATAAAAGTTATTAGGATCAACCTCCTTCCTGCCAAACTATTGCAAGAATATTTTCCTGATTGCGGCTACTCTTCTTATTTTGAGGGTCAAGAATCTGAATCCGTTGGAGAAAAAAAAACATGTTTAGACAACATGTAAGGGCCAGCCATCGAACCATTAAAATTGAGCGTTAGTAAGAAAAAATCCGATTATTATATCAAAAGTTAGTAAGGGTGCTCCGTTTTTTTTTCTTTATCTCTGTACATAAGCATTGAATGTACTTACCTAGTTGTAACAGTATTTCTGCATATGAGTGTCCAACGGCAGGCAAAGCAAGGAGAGAGTGTACTGTCGAATATCTCAAATTCTTTGATATTAGTCAGTGTAAGCCAATCATTAGGTAGTACACTTTGACTTTCACCGACTGCTCCAAGTTTTTGGACTTCCCAGAAAGAATCATAAATGATGAATTTATCAATCTCTAAATTTTTAAGAATCGGGAGAATTGCACTCAACTCATCCGTCTTCTTCAGACCTTGGCAAATGAGAATTGTATTAGCCTGTCTCCTACTCAATTTCGTGTTGATGCAGGTGCAAGGGTATATATCTACTCGAGGAGGGCACTTGGATCCTGCAAGCACTCCCACTGCGCTGATTGCCAAGAACAGAAAGATTCGTAAAGGTATCATGGCTATATTAAAAGGATATTATATGAATCAGAATTTCAATCGTGTACATGGTATGCAAGGTATCTAAAAAAATATGGAATTTAGAGATGTCCGGGTACCTGACAATTATCCGATACTTGTCCTACAAAGCAAAAGAGTTTCATTACCCAGGTTTTTAGTCTCAAGATTCGGTGCCAGGTTCCCGGACCAGGCCGTGATTTTCAAACCATCATTGTTTCAAGACCCACTCTGTTGTTAGGCGATTTTCTCTAAGAGTGGGTGTGATTCTTGAATTCACGGCCTTGATTAAAGGTGTTGTTGTTTCTAATGCTATTTTTTTTATTTTATTTCATATCCGTCTTTGAACAGCTGACCCAATTTTGTGTTTACGACTACTAATGTTCAACTCCGTAGACTTGTAATTTTGAACCAATCCAGATGACAAGGAAACGAAACTCCTGGATCAGTACCCCCAGAGATGTTGATTTCTTATGGGAACATAGAGGACTTTGCAACTCCACAGATTTGACGTGCATCAGTCACCATTTACTACACGGGGAGTCTTCGGCCGGCGGGGATTGAACCCACGAACTCTTGGACATGGGCCCAACGTCCTACCAACCAGACTATCCCGGCCTCCTAATGCTACTTGCCAATATTCGAACACTTGCTTGGTGAAACTAAGCAAATTTAAGGCAAAGAGAGCATTTCTTGTTTTTCAGTGGCGCCATCTATGGCCAAGAATATGACTTCAGCCAGACACATCTCACAACCCATTAATAGGGTGGGCCCATTCATACATCCAACCATTGTTCGTAATTTTAACTTGAACCATAGAACCACCAATCCCCAATTCAGTTCCCCCAGAAAGATAATTTCTTATGGGAACATGAGGACTTTGTAACCCTACAGATTTAACGGTGCTCCAGCCACACTAGGAGTCTTCTGTAACTACACTAGGAGTCTTCGGCCGGCGAGGATCGAACCCTCGACTCCTTGGACATGGGCCCTACTCCGTACCAAGTAGGTTGTCCCAGCCTTTAGAGGAAGGGTAGAGGGAAAAGGTTTTCTCTTATGAGAGGAGGAACATTTTGTTTTGTCATTCTCTTCAAAACAAAAAGGGGAGAAACCCAATTTTCGATTTATTGTTGTTATTTGTATGTTGTAAATCGATACTTTTTCACCCTTTCAATTATTTTTATTATTTTTTTTTTCTCATTCGAAGATACAGTAATTAATAATATCAAGGTTTTATAAATAACTATGTAAAAACCTAGTATTTCTTGTAGAGCACAACAATGAAATTTATTCAGGAATTTAAAATATACATAACTGATTAATTAATAAAGTTCTAAAAATTAAAATGTTCCTAAACAATAGCTTACTAACTAATGAAGCATAATCGATAAAACAAAAAACATTTCCTATAAAAAGTGAATTCTTTAATTTTGTACATTTATTAATTAACAACCAAATACTGATCATAAGTTGGATATAAAATAAACAAAAAAAATATTAAGTTTCATTCCTGTATTACTTGTTATTAAATTCTTACTTATTAAAAAGGTATAACAAAAATGTTTACTATCTGATGTATGTAACTTAATTTTTAGAGATTTAGAAAGATACAATCCGTAAATTACGTTCTTTGAAAAGTTATTCATATACAATAGAGTATTCCTAAACAAATTATTGAAATCGTGAAAATGTAAGGGAACGCATGCAGACTGCTATTTAGAAATTCCTATCAAGGCTACGAAGGCTACTCAAGACGAGACGTTTACCAGAAAAGCGACAACAGCGAAAAGTGATGGAACTACAGCCAAGAGGTAAACCGCCAAACATGAGAGCGGGTCGTGATTTTCTTGAAACGATGATGCATTGGAAAATCACGACCCGGGCAATTTTACCGGGTATCTAGTGCCAAGTAACACTTATTTATGTTCGACAGCGACACAAACCACATTAAAAATTATAGAAACCTTAAAGTTATTCGTATAAATTGTTTTTAAAATCCATCTATTCCATCAGTTTTTAACAATCAAACCGATATATTCTTGTTGCATGAAGGCATCAGAATTTTTCGCAAAACATTTCGATAATTTAATTAAAACTTACTAAATTATAAAATTTTAATAAAAATATCACATTTTTAACAACATATAAATTTTGTGCCTTATTCGTGTCCAAGTTAGAATGATTTTAGATCAACCTTTTAACATAGGTAAATGCGAGGAAAAATTATAAAAATTTAAGCATTTTTTTTATGAAAGTCAATTGACATTAATGCTCATCATATGTGTTACATTGAAAATGTGGAAATAAAATATTTTCAATTCATTTTTATTATAGATACATCATTTTTATATCATTTTAATCACTTTCATTATCAATTACTGATTTCGCATGATTCGAATCAGTGATTCGAATCATGCGAAAGAATTAGTTGTCAAACCATTTTTCACGAAATCGAATCAGTGATTCGAATCAACAGGGGATTCAAATCAGTAATTCATATGGTTCGAATTAAGAAGTGATTCGAGTGAAGTAAAAATTTCAGTGATTCGAATCCGTAAGTGATTCCAATCACCTAAGTGAACTGATTCTATTGATTCGAATCACTTTAATAATTCATTTTTCCCAACAATAAAACACATACATACGCAATGCTAAAAGAAAACACAAATATTTTTAATTCTAAATAGATAAAACTTCTACATACGCAAGTTACTAAAATTGAGCAAAATCGAACATATTTTGTTGAATTTAATCGAATATAGTTTTAATTAAGAAATGAAATATAACGTGGACACAAGTAATAAATAACTTAATATATAAACTTTTTCTTTTGATAATTTCAATTGTGATTTTTTAATTAAAAATATTAATTTCATCTCAACTTGGCCAGGAAATAGTGTTAAAAAAAAACATTGAATCCCATTTTTTCATGGTCAGAACACTGCTGTACAATAGAAAAACCAACGTAAGGGACAAAAAATTCAAAACTGATATTTTTATATATTTGGTATTTTTCTATGATAAGCTACCTACTGAAAACTTCTGTTTGCCAAAAATGAATTTTGTTTGATCAGTTTTTTTTAAATTCTATTTTAACGTTCATAGCGAAAGAATTAGTTGTCAAACCATTTTTCACGAAATCTATCGTGAATCACTTTGGTTGTTTATTCAATTGCACTACAGAACAATGGACAGTTGAAGAGCTTAGTGGATTATCAGGGTAAAAAGAGAAAAAGTGTTATTCGGACTATTTATTACAGGTTTATTAGAAGGTATGACTAATAATTCTCTGCCTTATTTTATTTAACAATACATAATATGAGATGAAAATCATGCAAGCATACGCAAAACTAATGTGGATTAGCTTTGGCAAAGTTAAAAACAATTCTACTACATTAAACACACTAGTCGTTATTCGAACACTTAATTTTTTCATCTTTACATATTACATTTGTTATACGAATATGTTATGTAGGTAACGTATTATTTGTTATACGAATAACTTTCATGTCATTATGTGCACTAGATACATCATTTTAGTACACTTAAGAAAAAAAATTAAATTTTATGATATATTTTCTGTCATTTAATAATGTTTTCTAAAACAATTTTAAAAATATTTTCTAAAAAAAAAATTAAAATTTTTGAAATTTAAATTTTTTAAAATTTTTCCTGTTAAACTGTCCCTGTTAAATATATGAAATATTAGAAGAGTTTAATTAATACATTTTAAATTCTAAATTTCATTTAGAAAGTCAATTAAAAAAGACAACTTTAAACGTTTACAACTCTCTAAAACGTATCACTAGTTGCTATTATTATTATTAAGCTGGAGCATACTTATATTTAAATTTAGTTTATGAAAAATTTGTTTTCATTTTTTTTTGTAATGAAATTAAAACTACAAATTTAACTTGTTATATATTTTTATCTGAAGTGAAAAAAACAGTTTTTGTGATACATAAGAATGTAATGAGAAACTTTATATCGTAAATACACAAGTATTGCTAATTTTTTACAATAAATTAAACAGGCAATTTCAATTACAATAAATTTAACAGGCAATTTAAACAGGCAATTAAAAGAATATGCTAAGAGACTTACTAACACAAGACGCTAAAAATTATCTACGAATATCCTTCACAAATCGTGGAATTAAAATCTATGGTAAAAAAATAAATAGTTTCTTAACATGTAACTATCATTTGGACTTCATCCAAATGAATTCCCTTTATTATGCCGACATGTAAATATTGATACAATTGACTGATGTTATCATATCAGGTTTGGAAGAGTATCTTGATTGGACATTCAAAACATTGTGGTCATTTACAAACCGACATCTTGGGTCAAAAGTCAATCTTGATAATGAACCTCAAGATCGCATCAAGAAGTCGAAAGACATGGCAACCGTTTAAACAAAGGGAGTTTTATTAATTATCCCTTTGCCCTCTGGGTACTTTAAAATGATATTTTTATTATGGTAAGAGGTAAATAATTTAAAATATATAATGTAGCAATTTTATGTAACTAGTAATCATATAATACAGTCATCCCCATTACTCGCAACGACCCTTCTATTGTTATATAAAGCAGCGGTTTCCAATTTTTTTCTACTACGGAACCCTAAATAATCAATATTTTTTTTGGTGGAACCCTTACTTTATAAATAAAATTTATTTAGATAATTGCGAACGTTATAAGATAAAAAAAGAAAATTTTTAAGATATTTAATTAGAGGAATAAAAAAATTTCGTCGTTTTATCATTAATACATTTAAATTGAATTTTATGTCCGACAGTTAAGTTTGCAGTCCTTGTGTTATTTCTTGTTTAGTTATAAATCTGTTTTTGGTATGGATGGTGTTTTCAGTAGAAATGTAAACAATAACAATCTCGAGCTCGGCACCTACTCTAGTTCCGGTTAAAAAGTTTGCGGCTGCTTACTACATGTTATTCTGATAGGCGATGTTTTCAAACGGATAATTTTGTTTTCAATTAAAAAAAAAATTAGATAATTTCTGAGCTCAAATCTGCCGTATTTCATAAGATATTAATGTTATTATTTAGTTCTGAGGAGTTTGCAGTGAAAATTNGCGATGTTTTCAAACGGATAATTTTGTTTTCAATAAAAGAAATAAATTAGATAATTTCTGAGTTCAAATCTGCCGTATTTCATAACATATTAATGTTATTATGTAATTCTGGGGAGTTTGGAGTGAAATTTTTTTTTATATTTATTTTGTTATTTATTATTGAAAAAGGTGACATGGTTGCTAGATTTTGAATATCTCGCTTTTTTGGCAGTCTTGATTTGGCCTCTTTCCATAAGTTTATCACTGTTTGTTCTTGTTGCAAGCTGTGCACCATCTTACGTGAGTGTTAGCACTTTTAGCATTGTAAACACAAGTATTGTTAGCATTGTAAACACAAGTAATAAGTAATCAAATACATTGTTTGCAAGAATCTCAAAACACAACGATGCCAAATGGCTTTAAAATACAACGGAAACAGTAACCCGGAAATTCAGGCAGTACCGAGCTTGCAGCGTTTCCTAGTGTAGAAAACACCATCCATATAGTTTGTCTAAAGTAAGAATTCCCCTAGCCAGTGGTCTGAACCCATGGCGATGACTATGGTAACGAGTCATAACTATTTAAAATAGGGGAGTGGGATCACTGTTTAGAATAAGTTTTGACTCTGGGCGGCTAAAGAAAGGTAATCTTTTTCTACTACTGTATATTGCGTTAGAGTGAAGAGAAGCTATACCCCTCCTGAAATGCGATATTCTTGTTTCCATAGCAGCAGACGGCTTCGGACTTTGAGTGAGGGGAGTTCCTACCTTAGCCAACTATACATACATAAGCTGAAAAGGAATAACATAAGCTGAATTATGGTTTACTTCGAAATGAAAACCTAAAAGAATTTCCATAAATGTTCAAATGGTTATTAGGAAACATATTTCCTTATTAAAAAATTTAGTAGTTTTACTTTGATTTAAAAAGCGCGATAGGAAATAATAATGAAGTATTTTATAAATGCTGTTTTTTACATAATTTGTTCAATGTATTGTTATTAAAAAAACTATATTTTCTTTTCAAAAATACCATTTTTGTTTCATTAGCATGTTTGCTTGAGGAATTTTCATAAAGGCAACCGAAAGATGAAATAAGTTATGAAATATAGGCTTAATCTAAATGTAATCAAAGGTTTCAAAACGAAATTGTAGCGAAATTGGAGGTTACAAAATTGGAGCAAAGTCGGTCGAGTAGTTCGTGCGAAATCAATTTTTAAGAATGTAACTTTTTAAAAATTCGATTTCTCATGAACTATTCGCCTGATTGAGTCCTAGAGTGTGAAGATCTGATCATTAGATTAAGAGTTACTTAGGGTGGTCCATTTTTTTGCTCACGGTAAAATGAGAAAGAAAAAAACTTCATTGCAACACATATTTAAATAGAAACTTTTCAAAATATTATTGACTTATTAAAAATATCATAATTTCCTGGAAAGGTTGTTAAAAATATTGTAAAATATGTACAAGTAAAAATTTTTTTGAACCTGATAAAACAGAAATAGTTATCACAAAAATGCCAATATATTGTTTAAAAATGAGAGTAAATGATATAATAATCTCATCTGAAGGTGCTGTCTTTCTTCTTTTATTTTTTTTTTATGAAAAACAGAAAAAATTGTTTGTGAAAAAATAGTTTTGTACAAATTATTTAAAAGTATATATTTTAAATACATTTATATACATGTGTAAACCAAGCTTACCTAATACCTAAACCAGAACAGATGAGAAATCGATAAAGAGGCTGTAGCTTGTGCAGTACAGAAATTTTATGTATATCTGAAAAGCAAAAAATTCATATTGAAAACGGGTCACAACCGCCTGGTGGTTATTTTTGGTACTAAATGAGGATTACCTGTTTTGGCAACAACTAGGCATACGAAGAGTTGGATGTCTACTATTCTTACATACATACTATACATACTTATACATACTATTCTTTAAATTTGATATAAAGTATCGCAACTCTATAAATAGCTAAAATGCAGTACAACGAATACGTAATATATATAAACCAAATGTTTCAAATTAACACGCGACCCTTAACATCTAGAGAATTAAGACAAGAAACAAGATCCGGGTATTTTGGGGGATATACAGGGAAGGAAGCTTATTACGTAATAGTGTACACTATTGAAGATCTGAAATACCATTGTCCCGCAGTGGACTGATCGTTAAGACACGGTTCCCAGCAGATCACCGAAGTCAAGCATCACTGGCTGCGGTCAGTGTGCGGGTGGGTGACCACTTGGATCAGTCTGCGTAGGGACCGAGGGTGTGCGGTATTGGTCCTCGTTAAACTGTGCTACCGTAAAGTGCTCGACTTCGCGCGCAGGTCGTCGGGCTACCGAAGCGGGGGTGCCATCCCCTCTGCAGAGGATCAAAATTGTAATGGCATGTCTTCGGCTCATCCTCAGGGATGTTTCCCAGACCGTCGCCAATAGCCCATTGTGCAGCTCTAGTGCGACGTAAATGAACTACAACAACAACTGAAATACCATTATGGTATTTCAGATAATACCGTTTTCTGAAATACCAATATGGATATTGTGAAAACAGTCAATGATTCCGTGGGATGTGCCAAACACAAAAATGATCTTGTGGGAGCTAAGGTGCAGTAATGGAAATATCCCAGCTTCAATTGAGAAAATATAAATGTGAATTTCGCCGTGGTTCGATATTTGAACATAGGTATACACTTTCGTATACTAATAGTTGATACAGTAATAGTTAATACACTTTCGAAATGGTTAGAGGTTTACACTAAGAAATCAACCACTACCAACAAAACTATAGACTTTTCTCTGAGACTGTGTCAGTCAACAGTGTGTAGCTCTACTACTCTTATGTGACAAAGGTCTCCAGATGAATTCATACGAATTCAAAAAAATTCATGCTGAACAGTGACATTAAACTTAACATGTGTACCGTTCAAACCATTCTGCAATAGTTAAGTCTAACGATATGTGTAAACTTTAGAGACGCACTGCACTTTTGTTCCATGGAAAAAGGCTATATTTTATTCTTGAACAAAATATAGGCTTCGGTAGCCTGACGACCTGCACGCGAAGTCGAGCACTTCACGGCAGAACAGTTTAATAATTTCAGGACCAATACCGCACACCCTCGGTCCCTACGCAGACTAATCCAAGTGGTCGCCCACCCGCTCACTGACCGCAGCCAGTGATGCTTGATTTCGGTGATCTGCTGGGAACCGTGTCTTAACGATCAATCCACTGCGGGACCGATTATATTCGAGTGTGAAAAATTATAGCAGCATAAAATACAACGTCGCTTGAATTATATCGAGTGTGCACAGTTTGGCCTGTTTAGCGTGCTCGAATTAACTCGAGAGCACAAGTTAAGGGGTTAACGTGCGATTTTATAGGTGAATCGAATACTATGATAATGTTTCAACAGCCACAGTATTGGGAATTGTTATTAACGAGAATTTTCTCTGGACTCGAGATTTGTATGTGTGATCGGCCGAAAATACAATTCGCACATGCTCGAGCAGTTCGTATTAAGGAGCATTTTAGTGCAGGCAGAAACGCGAAACTGATTGGTCAGTATTTCGCAGCTAAATATATTTCACCTGTCAGGTTCATGTTTGCATCTTAGAATTCACTTATGCAATTTTCCCCATACAGTGGCTTTCGCATAGATGTAGCTTTTAAACTTTCGCGATAATTAATCAAAATAGGAATTGGTAACAACATTCGTACGTGCGTCTTGGAGATTCGCATGCAGTGTGGGAGACTATTCACACTTTATAAAAAAAATTCGGGTATGTGAATTGCTTTTCTTTTTTCTTATTTAATTTTTTTCTCCAAAGTCAAGCATCATTGGCAGCGGTCAGTAAGCGGTTGGGTGAGCACTTTAATTAACCTGCGAGGGATCGAGGGTGTGTGGTATCTATTCTCGTTAAACTGTTTTACCGTAAAGTGCTCGACTACACGTGCAGGTCGTAGGACCATCAAATCAGAGGAGCCATTCCCTCTGCAGAGGATCAAAATTGTGATGGCGACGTTCTCAGAAGCATCCCTGAGGACGTTGCGAATTCGAATGAGTTAAGTGCTGATGACACTAGGCAGCCAAGTGGAGACAACTAAGTTAAGAAACCGGTTTTTGGTTTCTCGTTTGTGATCACACGTTACAACCTTCGCTTGTTCAACCAACTCTGAATAGTCCGATATCAGAACGGCACTGCTATTGGACTATTATAGTATATAACAGTCCAATACCAGAACTTATATTTTTCAATAAAGTTTATTGCTAAAAGCTCTTTTAATTATCATGGAAGCGATTATTCACGATGTACTTGAAGTAGGCGTTGAGCTGATAGCTGAGGTTCTGAAAGAAGAACTAGAACAGAAAAAAAGTGATTTAAAAGCAAAATAATTTATTTCGTTTGCTTTCAAAATTTCATTAATACTCGGAAATATCTGTCAAAGAAATATCGATCAAAATTAGTTTAAAAAGCTTAGCGTTCAAGCAATATAATTTTGAATTTTCAAATATTTAAACATTTGTAATTCGCGATCGCAACACTCGAATACGCCATCTGGGGAGAGACCGGTTTCATGCCTTTAGCCCATCTCCCTTCCCTCTCCTCCTCTTTTCAGTTATATAGGAATGTACTACGATATTTTCCCTTTTCTTTAAATTTTTCCTTTTTACTTAATAAAAATATTTTTTTAAATTTCCGTGATACTTTTCTTTAGAACTATGTTTAATGCAGTTTTCAGTTCCATATAGTTTTTCTAGTTAAAAGATTTTAGTTTATATGAAAATCAAGAGAGAAACTAACGTACTTCCTTCCTCTATGACTTTCCACACGCTAATGGGGAAAGCATGTGAAGTGTTGCCATAGGAAAAGAGTTCTGCTCTACGCCACCTGCAGCCCATTTCGATCGCCAATTAGTAACGCGCTAGTATTTTTTCCATTCACTTTTAAAATTCAATAATAGTTTGTAACTTTTAATATCTCCACAGAGGAAATTAGTTTATAGGGAATTAGCTTATTCGCATAATCTTTGTTATTTATGTCCCAAAGACAAGGTACGTTTGAAAAATTTCAGAAAAAAAAATACATGTATCACTAGAATTCCATTTAAAACTAGTCATAGTTAGAAGATTAAACCAAGTTCAAATTTAAAAGATAAAAATTCAGGATGCGTCAGAATCAGCACGTGTATTTTGTTTACTAAATGATTGCTAGTTAAGGTTGAAAGTATTTGGAAACTACTATATGACACGTTTCAACTAATCTGGTTGCTCCACTAAAGTTGAAAGGTTTTAACTTCAGTTGCTAGTTGAAAGCAACCGGGCAACCATCATATGACACGTAGTTTGCCTCGTGTCATTGCTTTGCCAAATTCGCAAGCGAGAATTTGTTTACCTCTAGTGTGAGTAGACCTTCAATTTTATTTTGTATTTACTGGATCATTTGTGGCATAGCTATGTCTAATGCCTATTTACTTTAAACTGTAAACCGCACAACCGGAATTTTCAATCAAAATATATCGAGCATGATCATTTCAATGTGGTTTTCAAATGAATCTTGAATGTTCTGGACACTTTAAAGCGATTTTGTTTTCTGGTAGCTGCAATTTCTGATGACTTATACTTAAAGATTTTATTTCTTTATTTTTTGTCCTATTAATTTTTGAAAGTTGATCGATAAAATAAATTGTTTTATATTTGTTCGTAGCAACTTGAACATTTCGAGAATGACATCCATTAGAACAACTTCAGGCAAAAAAGAGTATGATGCTACTAATTATACTTGCCAAAAGTGCTTGGAAAAGGGTCATTTCACGTATGAATGCAGTGGAAAGCGAAAGTTTGTTTCTCGTTTAAGCCGAACAAAGCTTCTAGAAAAAAGAATGAAAACTGCAAACGATCCCCCAGCTGCAACACAAGAAAGCGCATCAAATGAGATTAATGAGCAGACTAAAAAAGGGTCTGCTACATCCGGTGAAATTAAGTCTAAGAAAAAGCGTTCAAGTGTATCATCAAAAAGTTCTAGTGATTCCAGTGAAGACTCTGATAGTGATAGTTCCTCGTCTTCCGATTCTAGCTCAAGTAGTAGTTCCTCCTCTTCATCATCATCTACTTCGTCTTCCGATTCTGAATCTTCATCCTCATCGTCATCTACCAACAGTAAAAGTCGAACCCTTTCATCATTAAGTGATGAGCAAAATTAGAATTATGAAGAAGGCTGGCTTGCTTTTGTGCCATGGGCTTAAAACTGGTATATTGAAGGCCTAGTTTCTGTTACTTAAGTGATAATAGCTGTTATACACTTAAGTTTTTTGACAGAATACTTCGCCATAAAATTGTCAACAAAAATATATAAAGTTTAAAAATAATGGTAATAAAAAGGTTTCAGATTTTTGTTTTAAGGTTTATTTTAACTTGTTTCTTTATACCATACTTGAATAGCAATAACTGACTTAAACCTATTAAGTAGCACTTTCTATAAAATGTTAATGACTTAATAGCTATTTAATTGCAATAGGGTGAAAGAAAAATATTTTGCGATAAATCTTAATCATGTGGATTAATTTTTTAGCTTCAACACAGTCAATATAATGCAAATTAATGAAAAAATTTATCAGTGCCTTTTGTTTTTGTTCTAAGAGAAATCAGTTCCATTTAATGTAGGGTAATCTGGGATAGTAAAGGCTAGTTTCTGTTTCTTAAGTGGTAATAATTTTTTTTATGCAGATAAAGATACTTAGTAATAAAATTGCTAATAAAGATTTTTTTAAAAATTTTTTAACGTAGTAACTCGATTCTTCATACCATACATTTCTGGAAAAAACTTATTTTAAAATCTTACGTCCCTAATCATCCACTTAAGCTATAGCGAGAGAGAATTTAGTTGCGGCAATCTGCGACATGCACCTCCCTTGCTTTGACTAATCACCTCTCTCAAAACTTCTTTGCACCTTTGTTTTTCCAACTCTTATTTTTGTAAAAACTGCCCTACTTGGTTCGCTTAAATCGCGTGTTATTTTTTTATTTTCTTCTATAATACTCGGATTACATCATAAGTCTCGTGAAGTTTAGTTTCTTTTCCACTCTTCTTGTCTGCAACTAACTGTACTCTTTAACATTTAAAAACACATAAGATTCTTTTGCAAATCTCTTGTAAATTTCAAATATTGGTGATGCATTTCTCGAAAATAATTGATTAATTATACAAATTTTGCTTATCAAGATTGCAAAGAGAGGTGGCTTAACAAGAAAATTCAATGCAATAAAATAATTTTGATTTGAATTTGTTCCAATTTTCGTTCTAAACATGTTGAACTTCTGAAGATGTGTGATTCGTTTGATGGTGTTCAACAATAGAAATCACCAACTTTTTTTATATTTATCGCAATGCAATAATTTATAATATTTAAAATCTTCTGAATAGTTAGTTTTCTGGAATTGCTGAAATTTGTAGAAAGACTATACGAAAAAGAGTTGCTTCTATTTTAAATAAAAACAGTTATGTGTAACTTATATTATTCATAAATAGAAATATTTTTATAGCTGATGTTAATGTATCAAATGTTTCAATTTTTAAATGTTAACCCTTTTTTCATGTATATGTTAGGCCTTGGAAGTACCAAAAAAGTGCTTAATTTTGCATCACAAAAATTAAGTGTTAAAAGTCCTTACTACTTTTTTTTAAAGGAAAAAGTGTGAAAGAAATGTTATCTTTTATTGTTATAAAAAGTATGTTTTTTTTTTTAAAATTTTGTATTATTTAGATGTTACGACATGCAATTTAAAATTGGAGTTATTTTAACCGCTCTCAAATTCATTGTAAATTGACATCAGTTTTCGATCGCTTTTTCAGACAGTTCTAAGTGACTTTTCGAAATAAAATCGTTTTATCATTATAATGTTACTACGGTATGCAAATTTCAGGTTTGAAAATTAACAATTCATTCAGAAATTGCATTTGGGCATGCTAATTGTTTTTTTCCCTTCGAATTCTTTCTTTTTAATATGTTTGTTTTTTAACGAAATCTATCGTGATTTCTCAAGGTCTTATGATATATATATTTTTTTTTACCTTTTTCTTACAGTTTTAAATTTTCAATATTTTTATTATGATGCTATTATACTAAAAATCTCAGTTGTCACCTTTTGATGTTTTTTCAAGTTAACGAAAAAAATTTTTTTTTCTCACTTTAAATGGAAAATCTTTCACTTTTACATAAAAAAATATTTATTCTTTTAATTGCATTCTAAAAGATATTCTTGTGTAAACATTTTTATATATGACAGTACAAAGGAAAAATAATTTTTTAATATTAAAATAGAAATTTTTTCTGTATTTCAAAAAAAAAAGAGAAAGTAGAAAGAGGAATACCTTTTATTTGATCAAATGAAAGATATGATTAAATTAAAAAATATTTGAATTTTGCTAATAAAGATTACGAATACTGCCACTTATTTGAAAAGATACTGTACCGCTTATTTGAAAAATACATAGAAATAGACAAAGAATAAGAAATTAAAATAAGTTACAACAATCATATAAATTTTGAATGAAAATTAGCAATATTGAGCCTGATATATATTAACTAAGATACATTTATTTCTTCCAAACCAGATGCCTTGCAATAATTAGTCTTGCTTTGTTTATTAGAAATCAAAACCCAAAGCAGCTGAGAATTCAGAATGACTTCTGAAATCGATGAGCCAACAGGGTACTAGACTTGGCTTCAAATTCAGGGACCAGGCTCAAATTTCAGAATGGTGATTGCTATTTTTTTATGCATCATTGAAACTAGCCTGCTGCTCTGCTTAAGCAAACATTAGTGATTATGGAGGTATGGATAAATTGCCATTTTTCTGTATGCTTAAGGAGAAGTATTTTGTAAGAAATTTTTATTATGTAAGTAAATTTTTTGCTGCAACTTCAACAGTTGAACAATGTGTACATTTATGAAAAACTTTCAGTTATTTTTTTACAAAAAAGAATCAGTCCTATTTAAACCAGTTTTAAGCCGTTACAGTGATCACCACTCATAAAACCCGCGAATTTTAAATATCTAAGAAGGAAAGAAAATCATTAACAGTATTGATGTCTTCAAAAATTATTTTGAAGAAAAATCTTTTCAAAGCTTTACTTTTAGGGGGCACGTTCTATCATGCTTGTCTGCTGAGATTTGACTTGAATCTTAAAAAGTTTTAAGTTATTTTTTTAAAAATTTATCATTCCTCATAAATATATGCAGTCAATATAAATAAGTATTTTAATATGTTTATTTTAAAATTGTTTTATTAGTGAATAATTATACTGTTTTCATGCTTATTCAATTATTGTTACAGTTTAACTTGAATTTGCACTTGCATCATTTAGATTATGATTGTTGCGTACCACAATATACAAAAAATCATAGTTATTAAATATATTGTTCCACTAAATTATGACCTCATTATTATTTAAAGTAAAAAGTGAGAAAAAAATTTTGTATTGATTATACCATATTTAAATTTATGTATGATGTTAAAAATAATTAAAATGTAAAAAAAAAATGCAGTGCTATAAGTTATTACAATTTTAATTTTTAAATCATATAAACAACATTTATTTTAAGAAAAATTAATTTAGTAGTCACTGGTTATACCATGACAAATAGATAAATGCATATTAAATTTGGGTATACTGCTCAACATAGTCTTTAGGATGGAGAAAGTGTTGGATATTTAAGTTCATTGAATGTTTTTTAAAAACCTTTATTTTGAATCCATTCAACTACATAACACAATTTAGAGCAAAAAAACTAATTTTCTTAATTGTAAGCTAAATTTATTTTTTATTTTTATTTAGTAGAGCCAAAATAGTATGATTTAAGACAGACGATTTTTTTTCATGGAATGAAAATGCTTCTTTTTTTCGGTGGGAGGAAACTAATTTTAGATGAGTAAAATATGATAGTTAATCATATATAGTGCAACTTTGCTCTTACCTTGTCCATTATCCCTCTTCAGTATCCATTCCGCATCAATAAATATACTAATATTGTCTATAATTATTTTTAAAATACTATCAAACATAAATTATTAAAAGTTGTGATACATACCTAAAGTGTAAATTATAAGTAAAATTTTGCACATAAATATGTTTGCAAAAATTTTGCAACAAACAGATTTTTTTTGTTATTAATATACATTCAGCACCTATTTTTTTACAATATATATGAATACATGTATATGATCTTGAAATATTTATCCCAAGTATATAGCTAAAGATAAACTGATTTAAGAACCACTGTTATTTTAGATTATGACTGCTATAATACCTGATAGGAAACTTCTCGTTTTTTATCTTGGCTTCTGTGGTTTTTCTAGTTTTTGTTTCTTACCTTTATTTTTCTATTTTTTGCTGACAACTTCAGCTTTTTTTCCAAATCATTTTTGTTTCATTACATTCATGCCTGTCAAGTCTTGAAAATCGATGCCTATTTGATGCTCTTAAAACATGTCAACTGTCATTTCTGTTTTGTATATTTTTGAAGTATATGAAGTTTTCTATCGGGTAATATCTTACTGCTTCAGTTACTTGGGATCATTTTTCTTAATATGACTGCTATAATTTCAATTTTAAACATGACTGCTATGTTTTTCTTTTCTATGACTTTTCTAGTATCTTATCACTAAACATTAGAAATTTCTGAATTTTTTTTTCTTTCTTACTGTCACTACCTGAAAATAGCCCAATTGTAGAAAATGAGAGTAAGAAGTGAAAGGTGAAATGAATTTAAAATTTTTGCATTTAAGAAATCAATGTCATATATGTGAGTGCTTGAATGTTTGACCATTCTGTCACATACCTGATCATTTTAAATTATAATTTAAACATAATTGTTTAATTTTTGGATGTAATTTCATTAACCCTTTCGCGACGCAAAGCGCGAAAGCGCGCTTACCGCTGAGGCCGGCAGTCTCTCTAGCGTGTGTCTCCCCAGGGCCGGAGGGTTTTTTGATGTTAAGCCTAATTCCATGAAATTACCGAAATATCAGCGCGTTGTTTAATATTGTTCTGTAGAGTATTTAAGTGACATATGCTTTATATATATTTCTATGGATACTTTATTTACTTAAGTTATTTCTTGTTTAAATGTAATATAAATATTAATAAGTTTAAATATTTTGCATAATTTCCTCTATTTCCAGCTCAGTTAAAAATTTTCGACGCTTCGACATTCTAACGGTAAAAAGAAAAAAAATTCAAGCCTACAAGATCTAATTATCCACTAAAAACTAATCCGAAAATCGAAAGTAGCGAGAGAAAAAAAAAACTCCCTTACTTACTGTAAATAAATATCACGTGCTAATTTAAAGAGCCCTCATAAAACATTCCCCCCCTCCACTCCTTCCCCTAAAAACCACGTGAATGTACTTTCATCTTGAGTAGAAGGTCAAATCTACATGTATCTGAAACCATATGGACATACAATGCCATCTTTTGGAAGAAATTTCATTTTTTAAAACGTTCCGAAACGCTGGCACAAATAAGTGACGGTCGGGGGTGAACGAGAAAACTCTCTGACACGCGGGTGTGTCGGCCGGGAAGTGAGCGCGTTTCTTGCTGACACATATATGTGACAGTCGGCTCGAAAGGGTTAAATTGTATGGTTATACTTTGTAAATAATTTAGATTACTTTGGTAAATTTAATGGCATAGAAAGCAAACATGTATCAATGGTTATGTGAGTCCCAAAAACATTGATTAGTTTTGATTGGTTAATAAATAATAGGCATTATTTTTAAAAATATGATAAGTGCAGATTTCAAGTGTTAAGAAGTTTTAGAGGTATGTAATAATAAAACAGATCATTTATGATTTTTGACATCTTGAAACATGTTAATTTATCTTAAATATAGCATTTTTAAACAAAAATAAGGTCACTAAAAGAAGGATATATTTTTCATTAAAAATATGTGTTACATATATCATAAACCCATATGATTCCAAAATGATATACTCTTTATTTTTAAATCTGTTCAATGAACCTGTACCAAGCAAAGAAAAACTATTGCTCAATCCAATGCATAATACTATAATTTAAAGCTCTGAAATTGAATATATAATTAGTATTTTATTTACAATTTAAGAAAAATTCACTAAGGTTATAAATTTGTGGAACACTATATAAATTGGTAATTTATACCATGAGCACACGTAATTTGTGAAAAATCATCATATATCTATATAGTAATTCTGTTTTTAGTCCTTTTTTGTATGTAGTAATTTTATTTTTTTATCAGGACAGTTTTTGAATGAAACACTATATTTTTGTCATAAAATATTCATTATTTTTCAGTTTAATAATATTTCCTGTATTTTGAATGTTATTGTATGCATTAAAAGTTGCACTAATTGATTAATTAACACTGTTAGCTTATTTTTTTATTCTTGCCAGTTTTCTCATCTATAAGTTTCTGCCACTGGCATGGTGAAAGCTATTTCTACCAGTAAAAAATTAGCTCTAATCACATTTTAAAGCAATATGTTTTCCAGATTAATGGAGAATGTTAATTGTGTTCAGATATTTCAGTGTAAATTGTAAATTATTTTACATCATTTACTCTTAAAAGTGAGATTTTAATGTTATAACTAACTATTTGCAAATTTTATGTATGGTAAAGAATATTAAGCCATCTTTGTATTGCTAGAAATGTCATTTTTATAAAGAAGGGTACATTTTTGGTGTACCTATGTTATTGTTTAACGCCAATAAAGTACATAAAATTTCAGTTTTGTTAAGTTCTGTGCATTTTCATTTAAATTGATTAATTTTTTATGACTGACTAGATTTGTTATAACTTTCTATATTCGCGATCGCAACGCTCGAATACGCCATCTGTGGAGAATACTGGATCTGTGTCTTTACCCTTCCCCATCTCTTCCTACCTCTTCTCTGTTGTACTATGTTATTCAGTACTTGTTATCTTGTGATGTATTATATTTTCCTCTTTCTTAATATGTTTAGAATTTAATTGTCAAAAATATTTTTTTAGAAATTCCACAATTCTTTCTTTTAGAACTATGTGTTCAATATAGTTTCCAGTTCCAAATAGTTTTCCAACTTAAAAGTTTTTAATTTATTTAAAAACCAAGAGTGAAACTAACATACTTCCTTCTCCAATGACTTTCCACATGCTCATGGTGAAAGCATTTGAAGTGTTCGATCGCCAATAATTTAAAAACTTTCTTTACAATATGAAAAATATTTTCTTGACTATTTGAAGAAGTTTCAAAGGAATTTGCCTAATGGCAAAAAGGAGGAGTTCTGAGAATTCTGGTTTTCTTGAAAGATTAATAATGGTGATGAATCGATATTAAATTTATTAATAAACCTGATAAGTTACTAATTAATAATATATTCCTTTCATTTGAATTTTTTTATTAAAATACTTATTTTAAAGTTTTAAAAGAAATCAATATTTATTTATTATTTTTTTGTCTACTATTTTCAATGACAGGCCTTTCTAATGTCTAATTACAACAGGAAATCTATATAGCAATGAAATTAAAATTATACGCAGGATTTGTGCAGACTCATAAAATCCTTAAAAAGTCCTTGGTTCCTGAAACTGTCAAAATCCTGAAGTTTTTATTTTTCATTTTTGAATCTTAGTTTTGTTCTTAAACTGTTATATTCTTAAAATATTTTTATTTCTTGTCTTCCTCTAAAAGAATTGTTGTTTGCTGCTGAAAAAATGCTCATAATATTTAAGACAAAAAGTGTTAAAAATTTTTCTCCTTATTAGAGTATGAACTTTGATGAAAAATGAATTGGCTAAATTTTAATGTAAAAAATTTAAAAAGAGAAGAGAATAACAAATTTTAGATTTATTTAAAGGTTCTTACTTTGAACTATTTGCATCAAATTATGTATCCGATACTGTTTGTTTATGCTTTGCGACTGTTTAAAGTATAGATATAACTGTTTTGTCCAAAGCCATTTACTAAAAGTTTATCTTTAAAAACCACAAATGTAATTTTTTTGTTTTTATGTAACCACCTTAAAATTATTGTGCGGCTTTCAGAACTCCTCTAGACATCAGTCTCGGATGGTGGCGGGTACTATTGTTAGAGCTTTGTAGTGAATAGTTTTGCTTGATCTTGGCACAAGTAGGTGTGACAATCTTTGCTTTGTGGCCAATCGACTCCTTCATTGCACTACCATGCACTCTCTCTTGTTACCATAATAGCCGACAACTCCAGACGTTTCATATGGAAGAGTTCTCCTCAAAGCTGAAAAGTATACTGCCACTTGTGTTTTTGTTTAAAACTATAAGTATTGATTGCTATTACTGATATATTAGCTTTTAAACAATGGAGGATGAAGCATTTTTTTTCTTCTAAAAATCATATTACCTAATAAAACGCTTGTTATAATTAAGAAAATTTGCGTGCTTTAAAAAATGTCAAATTTTTCTTATATAACCTTGAATTTTTAAATCTTTTAAAAATATAAGCATATTAAAAAATTAGGCAATTAATCATTTTAGAGGTATACATTTAGTTTGCATATAATTAGACAGAGATGATTGTGCTTCGGAAAAAATCCGAATTTCCGGATTTTTCGCCAACTGCGATCTGGAAGTTTCAAGAAATCATTGATTACATTTATGTATAAAAATTCTTGTAAATTTTATTTGGAAATATTAGAACTAGAATTTATACTTGGCATCTCTTTCATTTGTAAATATTTTTTTCTGGTAGAATATTAAATGTGATTAGAGATAAAAGTAAACCTATACATAATTATTCATTTAAATTATGCTGCGCCTAATTTATTTAGAATTTCATGTTTTGAAAATATCTATGATTTAAATTTTTAAAGACATTAATTTTTTGAAATGCATCATTAATGATTTTACTTAAGAAGTTTTCAGGATGTTTGGATTGGGCTCACAATCACCCCTGATGATTTAAAATAGCTTTATTTATTTTAAACATTTAAATAGAAATCTGAACCAGTTGTGTCTGGAAGAAAAAAGGGATTTTTTTTTCTAAAATGAAGACAAATATTTTTAATTATAGTTCTTGATTGTTAAAATTCTGTTTGTACTTTTCTTATTTTAAAATTCTTTGTTTTGTCTATCAATAGATTGAATAATTATTATATGAATAGGCATATTAATAGATGGATAAAGAGGTTTAGAAATCATAATAAATATCCAATGCTGTTTGTTTATGCTTTTCCAGATTTTAATATGGATTTGCCCAATTGCAATACGAACTTTGTATTTTCAAGATGAACCTGTTTTTAGTAGAAAGGAATCTAAAAATTCAGTCTAGCGCAGAATCACTAATGTATATATAATTCTGCTGCTAGACTTTGGAAATTACAGGTCCATGGGGCCCAGAACTTCTGAATTTTTGTGTCCCTTTGTACTAAAAATGGATCCATGTTGTAAATAATAATTTTTTACCTCTTTATCTATCTATTAATATGCCTACTCATAATTATTCTATCTATTGATAGATAAATCAAAGAATTTCGAAACAAGAAAGAGATATATTTGAGCAATCAAGACTTTTAATTAGGACTGATTAAGTACCTGCATCAAAGATAAGAAATATTGTTTTATGATTGTCAGAATTAATCTAATTTTCTTTATTTTCAGCTACAAATAAAGAAGAATTTATATGTATCTCTTTATCTCTCTCTCTCTCTCTCTCTCTCTCTATATATATATATATATATATATATTGTAATTAACACTAATTTTGCTGTAAATTCATGATAATCTGAGATCGAGAAGCAGCTTAATGAAGAATTTAATAAGTTTTTTCTATATTTATCTTTCATTTTTTGCTTGCATAATTTGTTGGTGAATGCTAAACTATTAGTATTTGTCTGACAGCCTGTCTACAGTATGTTAAGTCTGTTAAAACACATATGTCCTAAAATTATTCTAATGTATGGCAAATCAAATGCAAATGATAGTAAAATAATTATGACTCTTTTTTTTAAAAAAAATGTCCAACTTCACTTTAATGGTGGATTTCAAATCAACATGGGAGAGTTCATCAGTTAAATTTAACAAAAATGTTCATCCTCTTTAATAAAGCCATGAGTTAAAATACATCAATGTTGCCAATCAATTGCTGTGATACAGACCAGTTTTGAAATTAATTAATAGTTATACATTTTCTATTTAATTAATATTCTTTGATTATCCTCATGATTCTTGACTCTAATATGCATACATTTACTATAGACTTATTTCGAGTACATTAATTCTTCTCACGTAGGATTTCAAAGAAGGACTGGAATTGAAATGAATAATCCTAAAAAACTGAAGCCGAAAAACAAACTTTGTTGGGTAGAAAGCTTTATTTTGCTTCAGAAAACATAAAGATGGAAAAAGTCGCTATATATCTAGCACTCAATAATAGATGCCCATTATTAACACTTGCTGATGACATGAATGAATGCAGAGATGATTGTGTTTCGGGAAAAATCGGATTTTTCGCTTATTGCGATCCAAAAGTTTTTGGAAATCCAAGTTTCAGAAATTTCTAGAAATCATCGATCACATTTATGTTTAAAAATTCTTGTATATTTTATTTAAAAATATTAGAACTAGAATTTATACTTGGCATCTCTTTCATTTGTAAATATTTTTTTCTGGTAGAATAATAAATGTGATTAGAGATAAAAGTAACCTTATACATAATTATTCATTTAAATTATGCTGCATATAATTTTCTTAGAATTCCATGTTTTGAAAATATCAATGATTGAAATTTATGAAGACATTAATTTTTCGAAATGCGTCATTAATGATTTTACGGGAGGCATTTTCAGGATTTTTGAGTTGGGCTCACAATCACCCCTGATGAATGCAAATAGGATAAATCTTATCAAAATTGAAACTCATTGGGGCATTTGCCTCATTCCTTATCTATACCAACAAGAGGCTATTTAAAATTTGGATTAAGGGAACATGATAGATATGTCCGTTATCAAGAATTTAATGAATAATCTATTGCCACAGATTGCTGGAACCTTGGTCATTAATTTAATTTCCTTAATGTCGGAAATTCTCTACCCCAGCTCATGTTGAATTTCTGGAATCTTGCTTTATATGTTTCATGTGTCAATTCCCTAGTTCAGGGGTCGGCAACCTTTTGAAACGAAAGAGCCAAAAGTTACAATTTTACAAAATTTCCCGCTTTTAAAGAGCAACTAAAAATTTTTGATTTAATACTATAGTGTTTTTTTATGTATATTTGATTTTTAATTAAAAAAACGGTTTTGAATACAGAATAATATTTATTATTTATTTTTAAAATACGTAAATAATTTTTTTAAAATTTTGTTTTCATTTAATTTTTTAAAATTATTTCTTTTTTTTGGGGGGGGGGATAAGAATACTTGGGTCATTAAAATTCGATGAAAATAGTAAATTTTCTTACTAATTTTTGTCAAACTTTCAACAGAAAATGCGATTTTTTTAATTGAGTGTGCATTGAAACACAATCTTACCAGATAGATTTTATAATAATTCTTTTTAATTTTTCATAGCAATTCCGCAATAATATTCATTTATATTATATCAGAATTTTTTCACAATTTTCCTATTTTAAGAAATATGTACCGTCTATTCTTGTTATAGTTAAAAAAAAATTTAAGCACTTAATTATTAAACATTTAAGTACATTTAAAATTTTTTTGTCAAAGCAAACGTTAAATCGACTTATGATGAAGTGCTAGGTCACATACTTTTTCGATTTATTGTAAAAAATTTATAGATTCTCGGGCTTTCCAACTCGAATAATTTAAAAAAGATATATAAATTAATTTAATAAAAGTCACTGAAAGTAAAGATCTTCTATTATTTAAAATAGCTTTTATACACAAAATTACAACATTAACGTTTTTGATGATGAAATTTAATACTATGCAGGTGATTCGGAGTGACCGCTCTTAATATGCATTTAAAGAAATTTTGCTTTAAGTGAACGCGAAAAAGAACGGGTAGAGGTCCCACGTTAGAATTTAAACAATCGAAAGCAAACAAATCACTGTTGAGGAAGGCGAGTGTAAAAAGGCGATTAACGATTTTTTACCAAATTAAATAACTTTATAAATTAAAACTTTAACATTCACCTGATTAAACAGGCCTGTTATTATTATTATTGTTATAAAGATTATTATCAATATATTGTAATAGATATTTTTTAAATTCATATGCTTGTTTCCTCCCTTCTATATTTTAATTTACTACATCCGCTGAAGTAATTTTTATCTTTATTTTTGACAAGGTTTATGAAAATTAATATTAAGGGTGGTCTTTTCATAACATCATGTTTTACATAATAATAACATGTGATACACATCAAAGGCTTTAAAAAATGTAGATGAAAATTAAATTAGTATTTATTCATTAAACTGAAAAATTAAACTGAAAAATTATCAGACATCAATTATGACTCGTGAATTTTTTTTTTTAAAATTCTTAATTTAAGTAGGATTCTTTTTGATGCGTTTCAAATATTATATGCGTATTTATTTAATTTTAGCAATTTTATTTGTGAATAATTATTTTTAATGCTTATTTATTACTAAAATTTTATTTTTCATTTTTATTTAATAATTTTATTTATTTTTATTATTCATTTTATAATTTACATTGTTATAATATAAGAGCTGTGACTAAATAGTGACTAGCTGTGACAGAAATAGTTCTTTTTTTCCTGGGGGGGGGATGAACTAGTTTTGGAAGTACAGATAAATTTTTTCACGCATTCTTGCCTTAAATAATTTGTAAAATGCTAAATTTTTTATCTGAATATTTCTTTATCTAAAAATAACGCAACGTAAATAATAAATTTTACCGAAGAATGTTTAAGTCTTTTTTTAAAATATTTTTAAAAAAATACCCTTTAATCGCAAAATAATTTTTTTCCTCGTTAAGGCAGTTAAAGTACAATTTGGTTAATCATTTATTTTGTTAATTATCCTGCCATTTAATACAAAACTGTGAATTGAGTTTTTAAAAAATTACAAAAATATTAAGTTTCTTTTTATTAATAATTAACTTAAACAAATGGAAAATTGTAACTTAAGTCTAAAATATAATATAAAAAACATTAAATACATACGAAATGCATAAACATAGTAACAAAAAAGATTTAAAAAAATTATTTAGAAAAAAACTGAAGCTTTTCTATTTTTAAACACATTACATTTTTAATAAAATAAGCATTGGTATAGTTTTGTTCATAAAGGATTGCAGTTTCAACTTATTATAAAAACAAATGCTAAGAACAAATATAGAATTTGATTTTTGAAATTTCTATTAAATAAGATCTATGAAAACTGAAAAAATTAAATTTAAAAATAAATTACTATTTCAAACACAAAATTAAAAAGCTTAATAAATAACAATTTAAAAAAAGGAAAAAGAATTCCTATCTTTAGAATTCAAATGTGATTTATCTATTTCTATCTCAAGCTCCTACTAATGAAAATAAATAACATAAAAATTTTTTAATTGCTCTTTTTTCTTTCTTTTAATCGTTTTACTGTAGAAAAGAAATTAAAATTTTTTTTATCTACTTCATGAAAATAATTTTTTACCCATATATATTTAAAAATTTTTTTTTTCTTTTTTGAAAAAAAGTTTTATACCTAAATTTTGAAGCAATAATTAAGGAATTAATTTAACTGGAAAATAACAACATATTTAATGCAATTTAATTTTACCTTAATATTTAAACAATAAGACTGCAAATAGTAAATATTCATAAAAAATTTATACTTAGATTCAATAATAATATTAATTTATAAAATATGCTTTGAGTAACTAAGTATACTTGTAAACTGGTACTGGGCAGTTAAAGACAGGTCAGTGAAGTAACTGGTGGGGTGAGTGAAAAGAAACTGGACAGTCATATAGAGAAATAAACCACAACTGTATGTGCATTGAGCCCTTCCCTTCCCCTTCTTAAGGACATGGATAAAGATATTGTCTTAATTCTTAGAAAGAGTAAGAGAAAACGTGAGAAAAGGCATTTCTAGCTAAACGCTTTTAAAACATCCTCGATTTTTCAAGTTGACAGAAATTTCCGGGGGTTTGTCTGCTGTTTCACAAGATCAGAGTAAAGGGCACCATCCTTTTTTAGAGCCTTTTCATTGTGTCGGTAACGGCATGCTCAAACAGACAACAGACTTGCCACTTTTCTGGGTGAATACTCGGAATCGAGTCGGAATGAGGCACCCCTCTAACCCCCGTTAACGAAGAGCCTGAGCGTAGCGGTTAGTAATTAACGATTATAAGAATAGAAAGCTCTTGAGAAATTTGGTACTTAAAAATATATTTTCTTATTTTTAAGGGTTTTGGTAACAATTTATTAATTTTTTCGCATGGAACTGGAGAGCCGCAACTTTACATCAAAAGAGCCACCTGTGGCTCGCGAGCCACAGGTTGTCGACCCCTGCCCTAGTTAATGACACGAGTTCTTAACCGCACCTCTATAGTGTTTGAAAATGCACTCTGCCTTGATTTGCCTCTCTAAGCTTCCCCAGTTTTTCTACTATTGTCTTACACTTTTGTTTTATTTTTCGTTGATAACTTTGCATTTTCTTTTTAAACATATTCTATCTTCATTCACGTTAGGTAAGTCTGAGAATGGGCATCTATTTTTGAATGCTCGAAACCTAGCGACTTCTTCAGTTCTAGTTTAACCTTTAGGAGACGGAGGGTACGACAGTTGTACCCTAAATATAATTTTATTTTAAGACGGTTTAGGTACAACATTTGTACCACACATTTCTTTCCCAGCGTGCGTAGCGTTTGTAAAAAGTACTTAAAGGTGCTTTTTTGGGGATTTCGTTTTTAAAAGCTTCTAAAGGTGCTTTTTTCAGCTGGTGTTTTTAAAAAGTGCTTTTTTCCACAAATAATTTGTTTTTTTCGTCAGTGATATCTGGCGAATCCCCTGCATTTCACGAAAAATGAGGTATTTGCTACGTAATCATTCATGCTGATTTCATGTCGTACCCACGTTATGACTTGCGCATGCGCGCACACTCGAAACTGAAACCCGAGTGCTCCAATTCGGATAGAGTCAGATCCTTATTCAATGTTTTTCTTTTTAATTTATTTTAATTTTATTCTTGTTTATTTTATTTTATTTCTAACACTTTTTTGACGTAGGGGGTAAGGGTAATTTTGTTCTGAGTTCAGGGTCAAGTTGAATTCACTCAAAGATGTGGGAAAGTACTGATTGTTTTGATTTACGTCCGTTTCTTTTTGGGTTTTTTTTTTAACGCTAAAACTCTTTATAAGAAGTTTTTGTTTTTCATTAATATCATTGATTGAATATGAATTTATGAATTTTTTTGAGTGCTTGAAAATGTTTGTATAGTGCTTGAAAAGTTTTTAAAAAGTGCTTATTTTTGATTCAAAGATTTGGCTATGCACCCTGTTTCTCCTTTCACTGTCAAACTTACTCTTCACCTCTTGATGATAAGTGGTTTAAGTAGTTCCCCCTCTATTGTTAAGGCTTCGAGGGGAGGATTGTAGGAGGGTTTCGCGAAAATTCGCATTGGAGGTTGGCATATATTGAACATCGGTGTGAAAATAGTGTAGCCAAATATTCCTTAGCTGTCTTTTCTGTTTTCTCCTCTCTGTTAGTAAGTTATTTTAGCAATTCCGATGACTCCTTGTAAGCGAGGTTTGAATGATGAAGAGATCTGCAAACTCTTAGAGGAATTAGATAAAGAAAATTATGCAGATAGTGATTCTGATTGCTCTGATAAGGAGGATGACGTAACTGTAAAAACAATTTTTGGAGAAGTTTAAGAAATTAATGTAATCAAAACCGCTGAAATACAACAAACTTTCACGTGGAGTGAAATTCAAAATTTTGACCATTGGCAAAAGAAAAATTTTACCAGACAATCAGGTGTTGCTCCCTCAATTATGCCTTTACAGAATGAAGTTGATTTTTTTGATTTATTTATTTCTAAAGAGTTACTTCAATTAATTTCAAAAGAGACTAACCGTTATTACAATAACCAATTAAACTTTCACTCAGAAAAGGATAAAGGGTGGTATTCATCTGAATGGTATGAAACGAATGCAGACGAGCTGAAGATATTTTTTGCTTTAATTTTGTTGATGGGCCATATTGAAAAAGACTGTTTAAAAGACTATTGGTCTACCGACGAGCTAATTGCTACACCAATATTTGGGAAATCAATGCCTAGGGACAGATTTCTACAAATATTGGGTGCTCTTCATTTCGCTGATAATTCTACTAAACCAAAAAATGATGAAAACTATGACAGGCTATGGAAATTGCGTGATGTGTTTAACCTAATAAACGATTCCTTCAAAAAATATTACTCTCCAACTGAAGAATTGTCAATAGATGAAGTTATTGTAAATTTAAAGGCAGAGTAATATTCAAGCAATATATGCCAAAAAAGGCGAAAGCAATGGGGGTATAAAAATGTACAAAATTGCTGATAAAGAAGGTTTTACTTATGATATGCATGTTTATTTGGGCAAAGACATCCTTACCTGCATCTTTACCTCCATCCTTACCTGCATCTTATAATGTTGTGAACAATTTAGCAAATTCTGTTAAAGGAAAAGGTCACAAACTTTATATGGATAACTTTTTTTCTTCTCCAAATTTATTTTCAGATATGCTGAAGAACTATAAAGTAAATTGTTGTGGGACTGTCAGGGCAATTAGGAAAGTTTTTCCTAAATTTGCTCAAAATAAAAAATCAAAATCTGGAGACAGTCAAATTCTTTATTGTGAGGAAGGCATGGTAGCCCTATGTTATCATGACAAGCGAGATGTTTATCTCTTGAGTAATATTCATGAGCCTCATGCAGCACTGGAGCATGATGATACTAAAAAACCAAAAATTGTTGCGGATTATACGGAGCATATGGGTTATGTCGATTTGAGTGATCGAATGGCTAATTCATATTCCTTCGGTCGCAAGACTGTCAAATGGACAAAAAAATTATTTTTTCACCTAGATTTAAGTGTTTTAAATTCATATATATTATTTAGAAAAGTTATCGGTGGAAAACCCATCAACAATATAGAATGAATGTCATTCGATCACTCTTAGATAAAAACCCAATACTCCACACCTCGCAGAAATACTCTTGCTCAATCATCTTTTTCTCCCAGCACAAAAAGATTAAAAATGGAGCACATGCATATTCCAAAAGATGAAACAAAACGCAGACGTTCAGCAATTATTTGTCTAACGTGCAATGTTGCCCTTTGTATTGACCAAGATTGCTGGATGGAACATCACATTAATAAGATTTCATAAAAATTATTAGATAATGAACTTATAACAAAATAGTTTTTAAATTAATTTATATTCCTCGAAAATTCTTGCAGCTTTTTTTAATATTAGTATTATCTGTTCCATTTATTTTTTATTAATTATTTTTCATTTAGTTTTAAGTGATGTATATATATTTTATTTATATTCTCACTATTATTTCGGTATTATTTGCAATTAATTATTCATTAATGTCTTATAAGGATTTTTGAAACTTTCCAAATTCAAAAAAATAAGCAGTGCTAAATTTAAAATATTAAATATTGCAATATTAAAATCTATCGATAACTATTATTTGCAAAATTTAATAAAGAACAAAGATATTATATATTGTTAGTCCAAGAATATATATATATAATCTTATGATTATTATATAATAATCTTTATTACACATAATGAAAATAATTAAGAAAATACAAGTGCTTATGACAAAATTTGCTATTATTATATTATTATTTAATCAAAAAAGTATTACTCTTCCTTGCAGACTAGCTGGGATGTCTATAATTAGATATTTTTCTATTTTATAATATTTGGATTTTCATAAGTATGTTAACTAAAATAATGAAATTTGAAAAAAATGAATGATGATGTTCAAGCAGTTCAACAGGAGTTTAACAAAACGTAATTTGGAATAAGTGTATAGGGGATTTATAAATTTACTGTAATTATCATTGTATATTAAGTTTTGATGTTTTGAATTTATACATTCTTTGAACTGTAGAATAAACTTTGTTTCAACTATGTCAGTCTTTTTTTTTTTCGAACAAAAATTTATATTTTCTACAAATTCTTGAAATAAAGAATTCTTGCTAAACATAAAAATTTGTGTTTCGGTTTTTGATTTGTAAAAAAAATGTAAAATATGCGTCACTACGTGTTTTTAATTTAAAAAAGTAAATTACTAAAAATTCGGAATAAAGTATATTTAGATGAAATTAGTTACTAATTTATAAATAGTTACAAGACTTTATTTTATCAAAGTACATTTTTTCTTGTGCAGTTATTGGATTTATATTTTTATCTAATATAAAATCGATAATAAAATAAACATAGTACAAAGGGAACAAAAAGGAGTGTTATGAAATATTTTAGAAATTCCAATGTTTCTTAAAACATCCCAGTTAATATAATTAAGGTGAATAAAAGATCTATAAAAATAAAAGCAGTATTACAGAATTTGAAATTAAATTGAACTTTATCATAAGACTTTAAAAAAACTTAAGATTAAAAAAAAAACTTAAATTTTTTTAAGATTTCAGAAAAATTAAGAGCATTTTTTTTTAATGTCTAAATATTACAAAATTTAAAAAAATGTCTTATAGAGTAACATTATATTATAGCAAATAATAGCGTAAATTAATAAAGTTTTAAACAGCAGTCAGCTAAATATTAAATGTAAAAATAATTGTTGCGTTTATAAAAAAAGTTTTGTACTTCTTTATATTTATTTCTTTTAGACATTTTTTTTTCCACAAAGTTACATATTTATCTAATTTTTTTTTAAAAAAATCCTTCAAAATATATTGGTTCTTGCATTAAACTTGTAATATAAATATTTTTTTAGTCCTTTCAATAAACCGAAAATTTTTTCGACTTTATGCAAGGCTTTTATATAGTGTAGAAAATTATTAACTTTTATGAAAATAAATTCTGTACTCTTACAAAGAACATAATCAGTGTAAGTTTTTATATTTCTTTTTAAAATTTCTAATGCCATGTAAGAGAAATATTTTCGATCTATAATATTCATTCTTCTTAACTCTTGTAATATTTGCAAATTCAAACCCCTCATCAATTATTAGCTAGATTGTCTACTTTTTACAATTGCATTTTGAATGTAAGCATTTCTTTTACTTTCACACATTTCCAGCAATTTCTTCCTCATGGAAACAACCAATTATTCTATGTCCTCTTGTCAGGTTTACCTTCTGGGTGTCTCTTTTCAAGTATGCTACGTTATTGTCTCTTTCGAAGTATGCGGTGTCAAAAGAAATCTCATATATCATGTTTTAAATTTCTTTCAAGTTCCTATGAACTTTCGATTGAGGCTAGCACAGCTTGTTGCCATGCAACTTACTTTTCACATAATGAAATTATTATTTCTTCTCTAAAAGAAAAAGATACCGAAGCCAATTAAGTATTGCCACTTCTACATGCAAAGTGCTATTTCTTGGTGTATGGTGTTTTCTTGTCAGAATAAATAGTATTCTTGATAATATATATTGAGGTCTGTCATTTTTAAAATTCTTAACAATAGTTAGTTCGCAATACCTGAGGAAAAGACCACACCATGATCAACGGAAATGCATGTTTTACCTTCAACCACCTGTCAACCAAGCTTGTATAAGTGTATCTGATAACAATTGATGATTTTAAGAAGCAAAATGAAGTATATATTACCAAGAATTGAGATTATTTTAACACATTTCACTTAATATGTCGTTTAGTATTTTTTAACAAAAAATTGTTTATTAATTTTCAGCGTAATTGAGTTATGCACTATTATTATCGTGTAATAAAGCTCTTTATAATGCAGAAAGATAAAAATGATGCATATTTTGATAATATGTAATAATATAATAAATCAATACCATTACAATATTCTCTTTTGCTCTTTTAAAAGTACTATTAAAGGCAGCTATTTCAGAAATAGCAACAAATATTTCTGAAAAATAATGAAGTAGAATAAAAAAAAAAAAAATTAATAATAAGAAAATAAATACAGTACATGGTTGTTTCGGTATAAAAAAGTAATACAGTAAAAAAAGAAAACCTTTAAAGATATCAATTTATTCTACTATGTAGATAAACTACAAATATCTTTAGAAGAATTTTTTTTAAAGATATTAGTCATTTATTTTAATATCCCATTACCATCTAATTTGTCTTACCATTTTTTGTTATACATCAACCAGTTGTTTATCTTCATAAGATTTTCATATAATTTTTGATTTACGACGAATAATTAAAGCGAATTTTAAAAATAAGACTTTTTCAAAATTCGATTTCTCAGGAGCTATTCGAGCGATTTTGCTCAAATTTTGTATTTTGCCATTTAAAATTGCATTCTTTAAAATTATGTAAAAGAATTTATACCTTATAATTCAGAAGTTTTTTGACTCTTATAAAAATAAAATAAAAAAAGTAATAAATATTTTCTAAAAGTTATTTTTTGCATGGAATTTTCTTTGGGTAAACGAATTTTAGAATTGTGTGCATGCTCTATAACTTCTCGAGATAAGGCGAAATGCGCAAAACGTGAAAGTAACTTAAAGGAGTTCGAACTGTCGACCGCTCTACCGATCAAATTATTGGGACCTCATTTTCCAGATTGTATATTTTGGGGATCAGTATTCTGAATCCATCGAAAAAAATATGTTTATTGAGGGAAAGGAACGTTTTTATGTTTGTTTTTGTAACTTAAAATATTGTCTAACGATTGAGACCTAACGATTAACGACCCCTCCAACTGTCCTAACGATTGAGTCCAAAAACTTGAAGATCCGATTATTAGATCAAAAGTTATTTAGGGAGCTCCGTTTATTTTTTCTACACTCTGTACAAAGTGGTTGAAAACAAATAACTCGCTTCGCTTGAAACAAAATGTATTACGTTATATTAAACTTATATTACATTATATTTTAAATAATCTATTTAAAATTAAATAAAGTGATAAGTCTTATTATAAAGAAGATTATAATATTGTAACAACATTTTCTGTAATCTATTAACGGGAAGTGTAAAAGACTAAATTTAAGAAAAATAAATTACTGTATTATTAAAATGCTAAAAGTAATTATTTAATTACTGTATTAATAAAATTTTTCTTTTATCAAAACACTCAGATGAAAAAGTCAAAGTTAAGTTTCCTTGAACATGAAATAAAAACGGTAAGAAAATGTAAAGCAAAAAGTAACACGATACAGAATCGTACGCTAAATTGTTTTTAGGTTTTAATTTGTACCAGTAACTGATATAGCCATGGTCTTACATCAGTTCTATGGTCCTTACACTTCGGCGGACCTGAAATTATCCGCTCGCCACGTGGCGAGTCAAAAAAAAAATGTGGCTACTTAAGTAAATAACAGGTCACTTTTCCCCACGTTTTGTTCTTTGGAAAATCCTAGCAAGATAAAAGTACATGAATGTTGAAAGATTCTGGAAAATAGAATTTTTATTGTTCAATGTTTCGATTC